CATGAGAGATCTAATCCTGTCAAATTAGCATATGCAAAGTTTGAAGAAAATAGGAAACTGATTTCATTCAGTTATTTATACATAATATTTTTTTCAATTTTTATACCCTTCACCATACTATGGAGGGTATATTAATTTTGTCATTCCGTTTGTAACTCCTCGAAATACTCATTTCAGACCCAACAAAGTATATATATTCTTGGTCAGCGTAAAATTCTAAGACGATTTAGCCATGTCCGTCTGTGTGTCTGTCTGTTTGACTGTCCGTCTGTCTGTCTGTTGTAATCACGCTATCTTTCGAACAAATTGAGATAGAAGGCAAATTTTTGGCAGGCATGTATATTTTGCCAATAGGCAGGTTAAGTTCGTAAATGGGCTATGTAGGTCCAAGTTATCATATAGCCCCCATATAACGGTACCTCCCGATATTCGGTATTTTGATGATTTTAGCGACATTATATACCGGAATTATTGCAAATTTGGTATTTGAAGTTCTTAATGGATACTACAGCCTAAGACAGAAAATTATTTGTGCCGGTCCACGTCTTCGTATAGCCCCCATACATCGGTACCCCCCGATATTCGGTATTTTGATGATTTTAGCAACATTATTTACCGGAATCGTTTCTAATTTGGGATTTGAAGTTCGTAATGGATACTACATCCTAAGTCAAAAAATGAGCCATGTTGGTCCACGTCTTCATATAGCCCCCATATAACGGTACCCCCGATATTCGGTATTTTGATGATTTTAGCGACATTATTTAACGGAATCATTCCAAATTTGGTATTTGAAGTTCGTAATAGATACTGCAGCATAAAACAGAAAATGGACCATGTAGGTCTACATCTTCGTATAGCCCCCATATACCGTACCCCCGATATTCGGTATTTTAATGATTTTAGCGACATTATTTACCGGGATTGTTTCAAATTTCGCATGTGAAGTTCGTAATGGATACTTCAGCCCATGCCAGAAAATTGTCTGTGCAGGTTCACGTCTTCGTATAGCCCCCATATAACGGTACCCCCGATATTCGGTATTTTGATGATTTTAGCGACATTATTTAACGGAATCATTCCAAATTTGGTATTTGAAGTTCGTAATAGATACTGCAGCATAAAACAGAAAATGGACCATGTAGGTCTACATCTTCGTATAGCCCCCATATACCGTACCCCCGATATTCGGTATTTTAATGATTTTAGCGACATTATTTACCGGGATTGTTTCAAATTTCGCATGTGAAGTTCGTAATGGATACTTCAGCCCATGCCAGAAAATTGTCTGTGCAGGTTCACGTCTTCGTATAGCCCCCATATAACGGTACCCCCTATATTCGGTATTTTGATGATTTTAGCTACATTATTAACAGATTTTTCTTCAAGTTTCGCATTTAAATATTGTAATAGCTCATGACAAAAGTTGCCTATGCAGGTCCACGTCGTCGTATAGGCATTTGGTATTTTTAATATTTTAACAGAATTTTTAACGGATTTTATTTTTTTTGGAAATTGCCAAATTTGTACCAAATGGTGGAGGGTATTAAAAGTTCGGCCCGGCCGAACTTATAGCGTTTTTACTTGTTCTTGAATGAAAGCAAATAATGTCGGTTTGTTAATGTAAGTTTAAATTTGTTCGAATTGGTCACCTTTGGCACGAATTATGGCCTTCAAACGGCTAATGAAACCGTCACACTCTGCCCGAATGTTGCTCTGCGGTATTTTGGCCCATTCCCGGCGAAGCGCTTGCTTGAGGTGATCGACATTTTATTATTTTTTAGTGCCAACCTTGCTTTCCAAAATATTCCAGACACAATAATCCAACGCATTGGTATCTGGAGATTTTGGTGATCATTGTAACCTGGAAATGAAGCGAGGAACTTCATTTTGTAACCATTTTTGGGTGGTGCGTGCTGAGTGTGATGGTGCTGAGTCCTGTTGGAATGTCCAAGGTCTGAGGCCAAAATGTTGCGTGCCCAAGGCTTTAATAAACCCTCCAGAATATTTTCGCAATAATATTCGTATTTATTCTGATGTCACGGTCGATTACTACGAGCGAAGAACGACCATCGGTTGTTATGGCGGCCCACATCATCACCATGGGCGGCGCTTGAGTTCTGGTGGCCACCCGAAGGTGCACATTTTCAGCTGACCCCTTTGGCAAGTAAACACGATCATTTTATTTGTTTACAAACTGCTGGACAACGAATGTTTTCTGATCGGAGAAAACCAAATTCGGCAGTTCACCACTTTCGGCCAAGCGAAGCAACTCTTTAGCTCTTTTGAGTCTATTTTCTTTCTGTTGCGGTGTAAGTTTTTGCATTGTTTGAAATTTGGTTTTATCCTGAATACATTTTTCAATATTTGCCGATTGGAAAATTGTGATATGTTAAGCTCATCGGCCACTGCGACGCGTGCTTCAATCAAGTCGCATATTTACTTTTCGAACCAATTCGGCGCATGTAGCTGTATTATTTCGTTCACTTCCTTGACGTCGGGCTACGCTTTCAGTATCACGGTAACGAGCGATGGAACGAGACACAAACGATTTATTCACATTTGAATGCTGAAGTGCTCTAACGATAGCCACTTGTGGTTTTCCAGCCAATAAACAAATCACACTATCACGCTTGAATTCCATCACGAATAACTTTTTTTCTGGAAAATACTCGCCAAAATGCTTTTGTACGCTTCTAAACATTGTAATGAGCTGTCAATGGAATAATTTTAATAGCTGTCGGACGAGTGGCTTAGAAATGACAGCAGTCTGAAGTTGGTTACAGTTTTTTCGTCTCACCCGGTTTATCGTATACATTTTTTCAGTAAATACTGGACTCTTACTGGGGAGTTACAATAATGATTATGCTGATTCATTTATTGCGTATTATAGCCCAAAATATTGGGTGGTGCAGTTTGAATAGTTAATGACGCTGATTTCACAAGCTTGGCATTTGAATATTGTAATGGCTTATGACAAAAGTTGCCTTTGCTGGTCCACGTCGTCGCATAGACCCTACTATAATGGCTACATTCGGTATTTTTAAGATTTTAACAGAATTTTTAACGGATAATATAAATAACAAGTAAGCAAAGGCTATGGTCGTGCGGAGCCGACTATGTGATACCCTACAACACCACAATATGATAGAAGCCCCCTTATGTCCAAATCCATTTTGAAAGATTTCGTTTTTAAATTATGCTGTTAGTTGTTGTGGTCTATTTTACAGCTAAATATAATCCAATGGTCATCTAAAATGCTAGACTTTTTTCCTGTCCTTAACTGTCTTCTCTCTTTTGTGATCAGGAACATTTTTCTGTTTTTGGTTCTTTTGAACCCCTAAATATTTTGCGACCATCTCCAAAAGCAAGAGGCCCCTCTGTATCTCCAAATTTATCATCATCTATACGATTTTCTCGTCTACGATATTTGGCTATATTCGTCCACGAAATCGGCATAAAAAAGCCGGAAGTTCGCCTTTTGTGTATTTCGGATATCGCCTGTAAGTAATGTTGGTATTTTTTCACACAAAAGTAGTGGTCCATTCTATCCTCTGTCCTAACTCTAACTTTATGCGAGATTTCGTGTCTTTTGGTTTCTATTTGTGACCTTTATAACGGCTGCAAAATCAGGAATATTTTTAGTTGTTGGTCCATTTCAACCTCTAAATATATTGCGGACATCTTTGAAAACGATAGATCTAGCCCTTCTGAGCTTAATCCTACCCTTGTGAACATTTTTGTGAGGATCGGACGATAATTGCAATCTGTACATAATAGCCCCAACCTGTGTTGTAAGTTGAAAAAATATTACAAAATATACACTTCAACATTTTAAATCAAATTGTAAAAATCGCATGCGATAAAAAATATGAAAAAATAAAAATATGTCACAAAATACTACAAAATCTATATTAACACCATAATTGGCATATTTTAATCACATTTTTTAGATTTTATAGGTTTATGCCAAGAGGGCATTCTGAATTGACAAAATTTGTCAAAATCGATCCAGCCACTCTTGAGATATAAGCATTCTAGCTAATATCCCCTTCCTTTGTATATATATACACTGTATATATTTCGCTTTATATATCCAATATATTTACTATCGGCATCTATGTAATGGTCAGAATTGACCTGTTCGTCTATTTGTGATTAAAAATATCCGGGATTAAAAATATTCGCGGTTTGAATTTTATTTAGCACAAATATTGTGGCCTATTTCACCCACTAAATATTGTCCGATGACCATCAAAATTAGAAGGCTTCAGCCCAGCCCTAAGCTCTAGCCCCATGCTAACGTCGATTGGTCCATAATTGTGGCCTGTAGAGCAACTGCAAAAACAGGAAATTTTTCAGTTTTTGGTACATTTTAAACCCTAAATATTAAGCGATCATCAAAAGAAATAGGGTTATATTCTGGCCTCAACCCCACCTCCATTTTCAATTTCGTGAGGATCGGGCCATAATTGCGACCTGTAGAGTGATTACAAATTAACATGGACAGACGGACGGACATACATAGCTAGATCGACTCAGCTCGGCGAGATAGGAAGATCCACATATACTTTCCTATGTGGGAAATCAATATTTCGAGGTGTTACATAATTTTTATAATACCTCCAAAACATAGTGTTGTAGGGTATAAAAATATTTTTATTTTAGAAAATTACCAAATTCATTCCAAATGGTGGGGGATATTTAAGGTTCGGCACGACCGAACTTACAGCTTTTTTACTTGTTGGTGTTTTAATTCAATAAATTTCAATAATGTGCCACTTGAAATTAAAACCAATAAAAAGTTGTTTTTCTGATTACCAAGCGTGACCATCAAACAATAAAAGCTGGGATTGAACTAATTAAGGGTTTTTTTTTTTTGTTTGTTTTGAAAAAGTAATTAAACAGCAATTCTTTTGAAAACATTAATTGGGATAATAATAATAAATAATACATATTTTTTTAAGTTTATAAATAGTTGGAATTTAACGTGTTTTGGATAGGGTTTAATCGATAATATTCGATTTAATATATTTTAAATATAAATATATCTGAGCTGAAATTCTTCTTCATTTAATTTCTTCATGTAATAAATATTTGTTATTTTTTTATTAAAATATGTCTCACATCAAATGAATATAATTAAAAAAACTGCTGATAACAGAAAGTAACCTTTGATTTCAAAATGACCTTTTCCAATGCTGCAATTGTCTGACGTCGAACATTTACGTTACACACTTGTGGAGGAAACCGTGGCAACGATTTGTGCAACACTCATTATCGTTATAGCACTAAGAAAATTAGAAGAAAAAAATCGATTAACAAATAATAATAAAATATGTAAAACCATAATTAAATAATTTCAACCTTAGAACCAATTTCTTTGCATGGCTCAGTTGTAGCGGCATCTGTTGTGGCGACATCTGTGGTTGTTTCCAATAACACTGGCTTTTGGTCTTGTAATACAATATCCACCTTCACCTCTTTATCGTCATTATTGGCAATGGCATTATCATCACCATTGAACCTAGATTCAAATGATGGCACCTTATAAGCCGGTACCGGGGCTGGTGCAACCGGAACAGCAGCCGCAACCGCCGGAGCTGGTTTTACATTTTGTGGTCCAAAATTCTGAGCCAAGATATCTTCCAAAGTAACTGTGGGTATGCGGGTTACACCCAAAAATGGATATGGATAGACATTGTAACTGCGCACACAGCGATACAAATAGCTCAGACAGCTATTGGAACAGCAATCCCAGTGGTTTTGGCACTAATTCACAGAGTATCAAAAATAAAAATTAAAAAAGCAAAAAATAATAAAAACGAAAACAAAGAAAGTCATTTTCGCATTATTGTCAAAAACATAAAAAAATTACCATACTTCGCAAAATAGCCAATGAACAAAGACAAAATAAACAAACCAAAAAAAAAAAAAAAAGAAAACTGGATCCACCACTACATATCTCTCACTACTTACATATTCATTGATTTCGGCACACTTTTTTACTTGGTTAACCTGCCCGGCTGACACCCCTTCACACAACAATGCCACCAATACACAGAAGACTATCAAAATACGCTGATAACCGCCAGTATTGCTCCGCTGATTACCATAAGACATGTTCTCGATTGAAAGTTAAGACTGAAACTGAAAATTCAGGTTTGAAACGAATGATAATGAACCTCAAGCTTGAGAGCTGAATATTATGATGGATGGGCATGTTGCCTATTGTTTTTTTTTTTTGCCCATAATTGCCACTTGATGCAGTGTTTTGCGTTTTGTTTTCGCTGAAGATTGTTTATTAAAGAGAGAGCAAAGCATTTGCCGGAATTATATGAACCATTGCGGAAAATAAATTTCTAAACTATGGTGTAGGCTAATGAAGCATAGCTAGCCTTTAATATTTATACCCTCTAAAATTGTATGAAGGCTATATTATCTCGAAATATACATTTTAGACCCAACAAAGAACATATATTCTTGATCAGAATAAAACTCTGTGTCGATTTAGTGATGACCGTCAGTTTGTCCGTCTGTGAAAATCACTCTAGCTTCCGAACGAAATGTGTATTATGTCTGCAGGACTTTTGGTGTTGAAAATGGACTATGTAGGTCCTCGTTTTCGTATAGCCGCCATATAATGGTACCTCCCGATATTTTGATGATTTTGGCGACATTATTCACCGGAATAATTTTAAATTTGGTCTTTGAAGTTCGTAATAAATACTGCAGCCTATGACAGAAAATTGTACCGTGCAGGACCACTCCTTTGTATTGTCCCCAAAACGGCACCTCCGGATATTCGATATTTTATTGATTTTAGCGACATTATTCACCGATTTTTTTTTTTTTTTTTTTTTTTTTTTTTTTTTTTGAAGTTTCACATTTGAATATTGTACTTGCTTATGATAAAAGTTGCCTATGCCGGTCCACGTAGTCGTATAGACCCTAATATAACAGCTACATTTGGTACTTTTAAGATTTTAAAAGAACTTTTAACGGATTTTGGAGGGTATTCAAAGTTCGGCTCTGCCGAACTTACTGCTTTTTTACTTATTGTAAATTTAAATTACGATTTTATTATTTAAAACTTAAATTTTTCGTATTTTAGGGTATTTTAAATCTTCGTTTTTAATAGTGAACTTTTCATTTCCTTATTTTGGCCATAACTCCTTGATTGAGTGTTTCGCCTTTTTAGGGCATTTTAGATTTTTGTTTTTATACCCTGCACAACACAATGGTAAGGGTATTATGTCTTTGTGCAATTATTTGTAACATGGAGAAGGAAGCGGGATAGACCCATAGTTACTTTTGAGGATCTTTATAGAATCACTTTCGTGGTCGATTTATGTATGTCAGTCCGTCTCTCTATGTATTTTTGTGAACAGAACGCAGGTCGCATGTATTATCCGATTGAGATGAAATTGTTTGTTTGGCCCAAGGGCCAACTCTATTAAAATTGGTGAGAATCGGTTCAAATTTAGATAAAGCTCTCATATATATCTTTAACCGATTTCGGGTTAATTGTGCACTTAATGACCAAAATCAGTCCAAATGACCTGAAATTGGCAGTTCAGCGTAGAAGTAAGTACATCAAATTTGGTGGAAATCGGTTCAGATATAGCTACAGCTCCAATACATGTGTTTCACCCGATTTGGTGTCTTAGTCCCTCACATTCGTCATATGCACCCTACAATAATGATATTTGGAGTCAGAAATACAGATGCCAAAGTGTATTAAGATCGATTCAGATTTGGATATAGCTACCATATATAGGATGAGATAACAAAACTGCAACAAAGTCAAACGCCATAGTTTTCAATTTTTTATACCCTCCACCTTGGAAAGGAGGGTATATTAATTTTGTCATTCCGTTTGTAACATGTCTAAAAATTCGTCGTAGACCCCATAATGTATATTTATTCATAATCAGCATAAAATTCTAAGTCGATTTAACGATGACCGTCTGTCTGTCTGTTGAAATCACGATACAAGCCACATTATTTGACGTAGAGCAGCAAAATTTAGCAGAATAATTTTTATTTTGCCTAGGATGGTTGGTATTGAAAATGACATATATCGGTCCACGTTTTGGTATGGTATGATTTTTGCCGCAATTTTTAATGGATTTGTCTGAGAATTGGTATTTGTAGGTCATAATGGGTCCTGTGGTGAAACATTGTATAGGTCCACGCTTTGGTATAGCCTCCATATAACGGTACCTCCGATATTCGCTAATTTGATGATTTTTCCGCAATTGTTAATGGATTTGTGTAAAAAGTGGTATTTGTTGGTCATAATGGGTTCTAGCTCCGATGGCGAAACATTGCATGTATAAGTCCACGTTTTGGTATAGCCCCCATATAGCGGTACCTCCCGATATCCGGTATTTTGATGAACTTTGCCACATTTTTTCACGGATTTGTCTGAGAATTGGTATTTGTAGGTCATAATGGGTGCTAGTTCGTGTGGCGAAACATTGTATGTATAGGTCCACGCTTTGGTATAGCCTCCATATAACGGTATTCGGTATTCTGATGGTTTTTATCACATTTTTTCACGGATTTGTCTAAAAATTGGAATTAGTTGGTCATAATAGGTTCTAGCTCCGTTGGCGAAACATTGTATGTATAGGTCCACGTTTTTGTATAGTCCTATATAGCGGTACCTTCCGATATTCGTTATTTGGATGATTTTTCCCACATTTTCCCACGAATATGTCTAAAAATTGGTATTTGGGGTCATAATTGGTTTTAATGTTTCCATTACCCTAAGGTGGAGGGTATTAAAAGTTCGGCCCGGCCCAACTTAATGCTTTTATACTTGTTTTTTTTTTTAATTTTATTAAATGAAAGATAAAAATGTCGGATATAGCATTAAAATTTAAAATAAGTTCAGATTTGTTCGAATTGGTCGCCTTTGGCACGAACTATGGCCTTCAAACGACCATCATACGCTGCCCGAATGTTGCTCTGCGGTATTTCGCCAACTGCCAAATACGGCAGTTCACCACTTTCGGCTAAGCGAAGCAACCCTTTAGCTCTTTTGAGTATATTTTCTTTCTGTTGCGATGGAAGTTCTTTCACTTTTTGGAATTTCAATTGCTTTACCCCGAGCTCATTTTTTAATATTTGCCGAATGGAATATTGCGTTATGTTCAGCTCACGAGCCAATTTTCGGCCACTGCGACGCGGGTTTCGATCAAGTCGCTTCTTTACTTTTCGAACCATTTCCTCGGTCCACTTCCTTGACGTAGGGCTACGCTACCAGTATCACGGTAAAAAGCGAGGGTACGAGGCACATAAGATATATTCACATGTAAATGCTGGAGTGCTCTAACAATAGCCACTTGTGGTTTTTCAGCCAAATATTAAGAAATCACACTATCACGCTTGAATTCCATCACAAATAGCTTGAATTCTGGAAAATTCTCACCAAAATGCTGTTGTACGCTTGTAAACAATGTAATGAGTGTCAATGGAACAATTTTAAAAGCTGTCGGACGAATGGGTTAGAAATGACAGCAATCTGAAGTTGGTTGCGGTGTTTTCATCTCACCCTGTATAGCAATTTTATTTGGTATAAAAGATAAAAGTATCCCCGTCAAGTTTAGTGAAAATCGATTCAGAATTGGATATGAATCCTATATATTAGTTCCCATTATTATCTACTTCAAATAAATTATTTTGTTACGGGAGCTCTACAAAATATGCATAGTGGTGTAGGGTAACATATAGTAGGCTCTGCCCCACCTTTTGACTTTTCCTTACTGGATTTTATATTCAATATTGCTGAAAACATTATATACCCAAAATGCACGGATTTGGAGAAATCTATAGGCAGGTTTAGTTCGTAAATGAGTCATGTCGGTCTACGTGTTCGTATAGCCCCCACACATAACGTTACCTTCAAATATCCAGTGTTTTGATGATTTTAGCGACATTATGGGCAGGAATTGTTTCAAATTTCGTATTTAATGTTCGCAGTGCATAATCTTAGACAGGTCAACGACTTCGTATAAACCACATGTAACTATACCTTTATTCGGTATTTTGATGGTATTAACGAAATTATTCACCGGAAGTTTATAAATTTCGTATTTGAAGTTGGAAACTTTAGATCTAGTGTAAATATGGGTCTACTTCTTTTGATACCTACCCCCCATAAAATGCCAAAATATTTTGTAGTTCTCTGCAAATTTCGCACATTAGCAATATATTCTATAGTCAAATGCTGAGAGTATCTCATGAGGGCATGGTCAAATGCTGAGGGTATATATCTGTATACCGACTGATACAATTTAATTGTTTTTTTATTTAGTTTACAACAATATCAAAATATATTTCTCTATTTAAAACAATCTAAAAACAACAATTACTAAGGCGCTGGCCAACGATACAAAGGACAGAGTTAAACTAGCACTGCCACTGTTGCGGAAGTTAAGCATCCAAGACATAATGGGATCACGATTCGCCTTCAACCAATTATAGTTATCCTGAATTCTAGATTTAACCACTGTCTCCAGATCACTGTTTACGTAGGCACTCTCCTTTACCTTGTCCACCAATTCCAATAGCTTCAATTCTTGATCACTCTTAACCACATAGCTGGACATGCCGCGTATGGCAGCATCCAAGGGTTTGTTACTGCCAATGGCCAACTCACCATAGGCTTGCCAATTGTTATTCAGGAATTCAATGGCAGCATAGAGACCAGCTTGGCTGCGACTGTAGGCAGCACTGAGTATGGTCAGACGTTCCGGACTGCGCAACTTGTTGCCGGTATCAATGGAGCTGCTAAAGAACTTATTCAATTGCTCAGCATTTTCAGCACAACCCAGCGATGAAATGAAAGAATTTCGCAAAGCTTGATCATTGGTGTTCATCAGTTTATCGAAAACATAATTGAATTCCGTGGATGTGGCATCTTTCAGGGCCAGACAGTAGAATTGGGATCGTAGATTTGGCTCAATGGCAACAACGTTGTTCAATTCAGCTTCGAATTTCTTACGAACTTCCTGCTGGCAAGTTTTAACATCAGCCATCCAGGCCAGATGGATGATAATGTTGCGTGTAAATTTATGATAATGTTGTTCGCCGGAATCTTCATGCACACCGAACTTCTCATAGACGGGCTCAACAATATAGGCCAGATAGCGTTGGAAATATTCATAATTGCTGTGATCAATAAGGAAACGATGGAACGTATCAAAGATACCCTTTGCCGTGGCCCATGGAGCATATTGATCCTCTTCAACCAGATAGGGTAACATTTCCAACAACGTGGAGTGTTGCAAACGATTGGAGATGCTAAAACGATAGGCATCATGCATTAGCTGGGCCCGATTGAGGGGATGGACCTTGTAGGGTTTATCGTGAAGGCCTTCAACAATCAGCTTCCAATTTTTGTCATCATAATTGATGCGATAAAATCCGGTCGATTGTTTATTTAAAATTAGCCAGTCATCCTTGGACAGCTTGGCATCCACCTTAATGCTGCTGACATTTAACAAAAAGTCGCTGGCTGCTGTGTTGCGGAAATCGGCATTCGATTGGCTGGCATAATTGATGGGGATATACCACAATTTATCGGACTTGGTGTTCTCGTTGTTGTGGAATGATTGTTGGGCGACAGTGAATGAACCATCATCATAGTTGCGGCTAACGGTCAGCACTGGATAACCACCTTGTTGGGTCCAGGAACGCAACATATCTTCGATACGGGCTGGTATGGGATGATTTTCCTCCTTGGCAGCGATTTGCAAGGCATTGAAGAGATCATCTTCCACGGCAGAAGTAAATTTACTAAAAAGCGAAGGATGTGAAAAAAATGTATGAATTTTTTCGTGAAAGTTACACTTACTTAGCATCCAAATAATTATGTAGACCACGTTTGAAGACGGCATCGGTTAGGGCATGATTCCACATATGTAGCACGGAACCAGCCTTGGCATAGGATACATCGTCGTAGAGGCTAGATATCTCGGCGGCTGTCTGGACATAATGTGTCATAGGTCTGGGCTTATCACTAGCATCACTGGTCAAGGCAGCCTGGTATTCGTCTGTCTGGAATTGTTGCCATATACCCCATTCCGGGAAGGCCTGGTATAATAAAAAAAGGAAACGAGTTGAAATACAAATTAAAATAGAGGTGTCTACGCCTGATATAAGTGTTTTATATTAAAATTGAGATTTTGTTCTTCGAGATGACTTTGAGAATATTTTGGAGATAACTCTCCATCTCCTATGAAAACGCCTCTCGGAATCTTCTAGGCTTAAAGATAAATCATGTGATCCCGTATAAAAAGACCGAGTCTTGTGTGACAAGCTTTGATCTTTAACCTTTAATCAGAAGATCTTCTCGCCGTTCATGAGAAGAACTATGAGAAGAACATCAGATTTTCTGTGGGAAGAATGTTTGGTCTTCTGTAAGAAGACAGTCAGGACTTATATAAGAAAATAGTTTAGTTTTCTAGGCGAAGATCTACTAGTCTTCTATAATAAGGCAGTATGATCTTCTACAGGAAGACAGTCGGATCTTCTAAGGCAGTCTGTTCTATAAGAAGACCGTCTGGTCTTCTATAAGAAGACCGTCTGGTCTTCTATAAGAAGACCGACTGGTCTTCTATAAGAAGAACGTCTGGTCTGCTGTAAGAAACAGTCCAGACTTTCTTAAGAAGATCCTCTGGACTCCTATAGGAGGACCTTTTGGTCTTCTATAGTCGGACCTTTTGGTCTTCTATAGGAAGGCCTTCTGGTCCTCTATAGGAAGACCTTCTGGTCTCCTATAGGGAGCCCTTCTGGTCTTCTATAGGGAGCCCTTGTGGTCTTCTATAGGAAGACCTTGTGAAGGTCCTCTGGTCTTCTATAGGAAGACCTTCTGATCTTCTAAAGGAATAACTTCTGATCTTCTATAGGAAGAACTTCTGATCTCTTAGATGAAGGCCTTCTAGTCTTCTATAGGAAGACCTTATTGTCTTCTCTAGGAATACCTTCCGGTCTTCTATAGGAGGACCTTCTGATCTCCTAGAGGTAGGTCTTCTGATATTCAAGAGAAAGACCTTCTGGTCTTCAAGAGAAAGACCTTCTGGTCTTCAGGAGGAAGACCTTCTCGTCGTCAAGAGAAAGGCTTTCTGGTCTTCACGAGGAAGACTATCTAGTCTCCTATAGAAAGACCTTTCGGTCTTCTATAGGAAGTCTTGTTGGATTTCTATAGAAATACCTTTTGGTCTTCTATAGGAAGACCTTTTGGTCTTCTAGAGGAAGACCTTTTGGTCTTCTAGAGGAAGACCTTTTGGTCTTCTAGAGGAAGACCCTCTTGTCTTCTAGAGGAAGACCTTATTGTCTTCTCTAGGAAGACCGTCTGGTCTTCTATAGTAAGGCCTTCTGGTCTTCAATAGGAAGACCTTGTGGTCTACTATAAGAAGACCTTGTGGTCTTCTATTGAAAGATCTTGTGACCTTCTTATCTTCTATAGGAAGATCATCTGATCTCCTATAGGAAGACCTTCTAATCTTCTATAGAAAGACCTTCTGGTCTTCTAGAGGAAGATCTTCTGATATTCAAGAGAGAGACCTTCTGGTCTTCAATAGGAAAATTTAATAAAAAGACATCCTGCTCTATTTCCTGGCTTTCGCGTTTTTAGGACAGACCTTTTCTGGGAAATCCTGCTGGTTTAACGGTAAAGGGACTATACAATTTCGAATTTAAGATCTAAATTTCATATTTGCACCTGAAATATAAATAAAAAAAAAAATTACATCATCTGTTGCCTTGTAGGAGAACAACTGGGCAAATCCTTCCTTCAGCCACAGATATGTCCACCATTGAATAGTTACATAATCGCCAAACCATTGATGACCGATTTCATGGCCAATAATATTGGCAATAGCCGTTTGCGTGTTAACCGTTGACAGATCTCTGTTGTACAGCATATATTGTTCACCATAGGTGGCCAAACCATAATTTTCCATGGCACCACCTTTATTCGGTATGGCGGCTTGATCCAATTTCGGCAACATGAAATCAATGTCAAAATACTCAGCTAGACGTTGAGTAATCAACATTCCCGACAACAGACCCCATTCTTGTTCATCTTCCGAACCAGGTCGAGAATAGACACGTTGCTTCAAACCGTTCAGTTCACCTTCAGAATATTTGAAATCCGAAACAATAAAGGCCACAATGTATGTGGGCATATTGACAGTGGTTTCAAAAACAGTTTTGCCTGAACTAAAAACAAAAGGCGAAATGTGATTTTATTTTCTTGATTTGAAGGATATTGAATTTTCGTTAAGAACTTACGTGGTCTCTGTCTCATACACAGGCATATTGGAAATGGCAGTATATGTGGGGCTATGGTTGATGGTAATTTTGAATGTGGCCCTTTTGCCGGGATCATCGTAACAGGGGAAGGCATGACGAGCATTAGTACTCTCGAACTGTGTTGCAGCCAGGGGCCTGTAAAGATGGAAAATAATCTATAATTTTAGCATAAGTTTTCACTAAAATATGGCGTCGTGGAATGGTGTAGTACTATTATATTTAATTAAGCTTCAAAAGTATCAACATTTTACAGAATCGGAACAATGTACAAGCTTTGGACAACATCTACTTTTTTCACACCCAGACCTTGTAAGTCAATTGGTTTAGGCAGTAATAAATAGTGCATTTTAATCTAACTTCACTACTAATTGTGATTCTCACAGGACCCAGCTACAGATTCGATAACATCTAGCAGATCAAAAATTTACCAAAATTCTGATAGGTAGGCAGTGCAAGAGAAAGAAAATATACTAAAAAGAGCTAAAGTGGTGAACTGCCGAATTTGGTTTTCTCCGATGAGAAAACATTCGTTGTCCAGCAGTTTGTAAACAAACAAAATGATCGTATTTGGCCACCAGAACTCAAGCGCCGCCCATGGTGATGGTCGCTCTCCGCTCGTATTAATCGACCGTGGCATCAGAATAAATGCCGAATATTATCGCGAAAATATTCTGGAGAGTGCATTAAAGCTTTGAGCACGCAAACTTTTGGCCGCAGACCTTGGACATTCCAACAGGACTCAGCACCATCGATTACAAAATGAGGTTCCTCTAATCATTTCCAACGCACAATGACCAGCAAAATCTCCGGATACCAATCCGTTGGACTATTGTTTCTGAGGTATTTTGGTAAGCAAGGTTGGCACTAAAAAATACCAAAGTGTTGATCACCTCAAGCAAGCGCTTCGCCGGGAATGGGCCAAAATACCGCGGCGTGTGACGGTTTCAATGGCCGTTTGAAGGCCAGAATTCGTACCTAAGGTGACCAATTCGAACAAATCTAAACTTATTCTAAAATTTGATGCTATTTCCGACAGTTTTTGATTTCATTCAATAAAATTTAAAAAAAAAGTAAAAATTATGGTAAGTAAAGTCAAATTGTTGCATTTTTTTATCTCACCATGTAAATGTAAAAGAAGTTATTATTCTACTTATATGTCAAGAACCGCTGGACAGATTTTCACAACTCTCATCAATTCGAAATGGTATCTTGCCAGAAAAGGATAATATATAAGAAAATCGCGTAAAAAAGTGCAAATTTTACGTTACATTTATTATACCCTCCACCAAACTATGGAGGGAGGGTATATTCATTTTGTTATTCCGTTTGTAACTCATCGAAATAATGATCTCAGACCCAACAAAGTATGTATATTCTTGATCAGTGTAAATTTCTAAGACGATTTAGCCATGTCCGTCTGTCTGTCTGTCCGTATGTCTGTTGTTATAACGAACTAAGATAGAAGGCTAAAATTTTGCACACATGTTTATTTTGCCAGTAGGCAGGTTAAGTTCGTAAATGGACCATGTAGGTACACGTTTTCATATAGCCTCCATATAATGGTACCTCCCGATATTCGATATTTTTAGGATTTTAGCGACAATATTCACCGGATTTTTTTTTAAATTTGGCATTTAAAGTTCGAAATGGATACTACATCCTAAGTCAAACAAATAAGCAAAGGCTACAGTCGAGCGGGGCCGACCGTTGAATACCCTACAACACTATAATAAACGATACAGTTTATATAGGCAAGATGCTCGAAAGAATTCCACAAGATATTGTGACAAATAATAAAAGAAAACCATCAGGTTTCGTTCTCTAATTTTCGAATAATAGCAACTTAAACTAAATGGTCTTCCTAGATCTGGAACCAATATTTCCCAAAGACCTATAATCTCCCAGAAGTGGCAAAAGATTAACATTTATTATTGGTTTTTGACTGAAACGCATCTATATGAGATACAGACATTTGACTACATTATTCAACGAAATCAGCGTTAAAAAAAATAGTCAGAAGTGCATCTTTCCTGTATTTGTGAATTCTCCAAAACGTCACTGGAATGGACATTTTCGTATTTTGTCTACAAAAAGTGGCAAACTATTTCACACATTGAATATTTTTGCATGGCCATCCAAAACTGCTTGGCTTTTGCAATGTGCGGTAACCCCCATTCAAATGTGCGTGAGGATCGGGCGATAATTACGACCTGCTGACAATTTTGCAGTTTTTTGGTCCATTTCAACCCCTAAATATATGGCGATCATCTCCAAAAAGAGTAGGCTTCTATTCTGACCCTCATCTTATCCCCATGCAAAATTTCGTAAGGATCGGGCCATAAATGCGATCTGTATATGATATCCTGATATGCTAACTACTTAGTTTTGTTAGCTGTAGAAATATTACCAAATGTTTAATTCAAAATGAAAATATGCCAAAAATATGACAAAATGGAAAAAATATGAGAAAATATTACAAAATCAATATTTTCATCTTTAGAGAGATATTGGTATTTGCGTTTTTTAGACGTTTTTCCTTTCCTGTCAAGAGGCCATTCTGAATTAATGAGAACTGTCGAAATCAGTTCAGCCGTTCTCGACATAAAAGAGATCTTTCAAGCATATCTGCTTTGATAGACATATATATCGCACATATTTTGCTGTATATCCGATTTGTTGGATGTTAACATCAATGTAAAGATCAGAAGTAACCTTGTCATGGCTTTGTGATTTCGCCGGGATTTAAAATATTCGCGGTTTAATGAAAAATTTGGAATTTTTTCAACAAAAAATATATGGTCTATTTTACCCGCTAAATATTATCCGATGACCACCCAAATTGGTAGGCTTCTTCCCCGCCCTAAACTCTAGCTACATGCGAAATTCCGCGTCGATTGGTCTAGAACTGCAACCTCCGACATTTTTTCAGTATTTGGTCCATTTCAACCCCTAAACATTTGGCGATCATCTCCAAATGTAATAGGGTTTTATTCTGACCCTAGCCCCACCTCCATTCTAAATTTCGTGAAGATCGGGCCATAATTGCGACCTGTAGAGTGATTACAAATTAACATGGACAGACGGACGGACGGACATACATAGCTAGATCGACTCAGCTCGGCGAGATAGGAAGATCCATATATACTTTCCTATGTGGGAAATCAATGTTTCGTGGTGTTACATAATTTTTGGCCCAATCAAACTTATAATACCCCCAACACATAGTGTTGTAGGGTATAAAAATAAGCCATGTAGATCCACGTCTTCATATAGCCCCGATATAACGGTACCCTCCGAAATTCGGTATTTTGATGATTTTATCGACATTATTCAACGGAATTGTTTCAAATTTGGTGTTTGAAGTTCGGTGGTTCGGTCCAGGTCTTCGTATAGGCCCCTATATATCAGTACCTCCTTATATTCGGTATGTTGAAGATTTTAGGTACAATACTCACCGAAATTGTTTGAGATGTCGCATTTAAAGTTCGTCATGGAAGCTACAGCCTGTGACACAAAATTGTCTATGCAGGTCCAGGTCTTTGTACGGAACCTCCCTATGTACGCTATTTTGATGATTTTGGCTACAATATTCAACGTTTACTTCAAGTTTCGAATTTGAATATGGTAATGGCTTGTGACAAACAATGCCTATGTAGGTGCACGTCGTACAGGCCCCAATATAACGGCTGTATTCGGTATTTTTAAAATGTTAACAGAATTTTTGGCGAATGTTATTTTTTTGAAAATTTTGAAATTCGTTCTAAATGGTGGAGGATACAGCCTTCAGCCCAGGAGGATATTCAAAGTTCGGCCCAGCCGAACTCACCGCTTTTATACTTGTTTATATTTTTTATCGCCTGCGATTTTTTCAATTTAAATTACAATTTTGAATTGGACATTTTCTAAAGTTTTTCCACACCCTGCAATACCATGTGTTTAGGGTATTATATACAGTTCGCAATTATCGTGCGATGCTCACGAAATTTTGCAGAATTAAAGCCTAATGTTTTTGAAGAAAAATCAATCGACACGGAATTTTGCATGAGAAGAGATTTGAATACGGGGAAAAAGTCTAACATTTTGAATGACCATCTGATTATATTTAGCTATAAAATGGACCACAACTTTCGTGTGAAATTGTTTAGAATAAATTAATTGTTTACATTTTCTTTTATAACAAGTAAAAAAGTTTCGGTCGGTTTTGCCGACAGATGTATACCCTCAGCCAATGTTCATTTATTTTAAAATCTTTTGACTTCTGGTTTGATTGATCGAATGTTTAAACCTTTATGCAGTTGGTTCCAAAGGAATTGGCCATTTCGTGTCGGGCCTAAATAAATATGATATAAATCTTGCGACGTGCTAGGTTTGGACTGTGTTGTGTTAATGGAAATTTTGAGATGTACCAAGTCATGAATAGAATCGAATGTCAATTTCGCTTTTTATGAGCTTCATGGATTTTCACAATTTTGACCCTTTGTGGGTGGACCGATATATTCCATCTTAACACCAGATCTTGGATTTAGGAAAATATTGGAATGTGTGAAATTTTAAGACAGTCGGATTCTAACATCACCAATTTAATTATTCAAAATGTTTACCCTTTGTGGGGGAGGTACTTGATGGAGTGGACCAATATTATCCATTTTTTTTAAGAGACCAAGAACTGACGAAAATATTAGGATTTGCCAAGTTGGAGCAAACCCGGATTACCGCTTCTCTTTCTGCGCAGAAAAAAATATTTTTTGTTTTTTTGAAATTTTTGACCTTTTGTGGGGGAGGCACCAGAAGGAGTGGACCGATTTTGCCCATCTTAACACCAGACCTTGGGTTAATATAAAAATTTAGATGTGTGAAATTTTAAGACAATCGGGCTCTTGCATCAATTTTTATGAGAGTTGTAATTATTTAAAATTTTGACCATTTGTGTGGGAGGTACTTGATGGAGTGGACCGATATTGTCCATTTTCCCACCAGACCTAGCACTGAGGCAAATATAAGGATGTGTTGGAGTTGGAGCAAAATCGGATTATCCTTTCACTTTCTGTGCAAAAAATAATTATTTTGAAAATTTCGACCTTTTGTGGGGGAGGTACCAGAAGGAGTGAACCGATATTGCCCATCTCCGAACTCGATCTAAGTTTGACAAAAATATTACGATGTACCAAGTTTGGACCATATCGGATACTCCCTTCGAGAGGTATCGTGCGCACCAGCCAGCCAGATAGACAGACGGACGGACATCGCTAGATCGACTCCAAATGTTCTGAAACGGATTTGGTCCAAAGAGACCTAGGGTCTAAAACCGTTATTTCGACTAGGCACGTTTTGACCGTTTCAAATGATATATCCCCTGTAGCCATATGGCTGAGGGTATAAAAATAGTTGAAATTAATAGTGAACAAGACAGAAAATATTGGCATTTACTGTTAACAAGTTAAAAAGTATCAGTCGGTATTGCCGCCAGAGATATACCCTCAGCCTATGTTCGATTATCTAAATATATTTTGACTAGTGTTAAGATTATGCCAAGTCTAAATGGAATCGGATGTTAATTTGGCGATTTATGAGCTTCATGGGTACTCAAAATTTCAATATTTTGTGGGGGAGGTACTTGATGGAGTGGACCGATATTGTCCATTTTCACACCTGTCCTAGCACTGACGCAAATATTAGGATTCGCAAAGTCGGAGCAAATTCGGATTAGCCTTTCTCTTTCTGTGCAAAAAATTAGTTTTTTTTTTTTTTTTTTGAAAATTTCGACCTTTTGTGGGAGGTAACAGAAGGAGTGGGCCGATATTGTTCATCTTAACACAAGACCTTGGGTTAATATAAATATTGGGATGTGTGAAATTTGAAGACAGTTGGACTCTTACATAACATTTTATGAGAATTGTAATTATTCAAAATTTTTACCATTTGTGGGGGAGGTATTTGATGGAGTGGACCGATATTGTCCATTTCCACACCTGCCCTAGCACTGATGCAAATATTAGGATTTGCAAAGTTGGAGCAAATTTGGATTATCCTTTCTCTTTCTGTGCAAAGAATATATTTTTTGAACATTTTGACCTTTTGTGGGGGAGGTACCAGAAGGAGTGGACCGATATTGTTCATCTTAACACCAGACCTTGGGTTAATATAAATATTGGGATGTGTGAAATTTGAAGACAATCGGACTCTTACATAACATTTTATGAGAGTTGTAATTATTCAAAATTTTGACCATTTGTGGGGGAGGTAATTGATGGAGTGGACCGATATTGCCCATTTTCACACCTGACCTAGCACTGACGCAAATATTAGGATTTGCAAAGTTGGAGCGAATTCGGATTATCCTTTCTCTTCCTGTGCAAAAAATATATTTTTTGAAAATTTCGACCTTTTGTGGGGGAGGTACCAGAAGGAGTGGACCGATATTGCCCATCTCCGAACTCGATCTAAGTTTGACAAAAATATTACGTTGTAGCCAATTTGGACCAAATCGGATACTCCCTTCGAGAGTTATCGTGAGCGAATTCGGATTATCCTTTCTCTTCCTGTGCAAAAAATATATTTTTTGAAAATTTCGACCTTTTGTGGGGGAGGTACCAGAAGGAGTGGACCGATATTGCCCATCTCCGAACTCGATCTAAGTTTGACAAAAATATTACGTTGTAGCCAATTTGGACCAAATCGGATACTCCCTTCGAGAGTTATCGTGCGCACCAGCCAGCCAGACAGACAGACAGGCGGACGGACGGACATCGCTAGATCGACTCCAAATGTTCTGAAACGGATTTGGTCCAAAAAGACCTAGGGTCTAAAACCGTTATTTCGACTAGGCACGTTTTGGCCGTATCAAATGATATATACCCTCTGTAGCCATATGGCTGAGGGTATAAAAAGGGTCTTCTGTTACCTGGTTCAAGAAATAGACAATGATATGTTTTTCATCGTCGAATTAAAAAAACTTAATTCCATAAAAGATTCCTCAGTTTATTTGACAGTCATATCAAAAATAAGCTAAACAAGATGCACATAACTACAACGTTGATTAGAGGATGCACAAGGGAACCATTTATCACTTCATATCTAGAAAATCCAATTCATGGCCAAAATACATTTTATACCCCCAAATATACATTGTGTCACGGTGTTATCGCCAAATAATCAACATCAAGTTATAACTAACTATAAATATTTTCAAAACGCCTCATTCTGTTGCAAAACCTAAGAAACCGTTCGAAAAATAGACTTTGACCCTAAATTCCTCAACAACACTGGAAGTGTCTGAACTACTGTATTTCGTTGGACTGGTCAATATTTCGACATGAGACTAATAAAGCGATTCGAGTCGATATTAGAAATTGTTAAGGTTCTTGCCGCTTTATTCAGTATGACTGGGTCCTAAATTGATTGCTACAGCGTTCTCAATGCAATGCAATCATTACAAATCGGATTTCTAGACCAAAAATCTGCTTCTATTTCCTTTAAATCTTTAACTTTCCTCACCACTCACCGTTCACTGCCATTGACATCGGTGTATGTGGTCATGTAGAAGCCAGCATTATCATTCCGAAGTACACCGTTATAGGTCACATTCAATTTTAATTTCGAATCCTTGGCAAAGGGCGCCTCAACTTTACGTGTCAAAATCAAAAATTCACGTTGTTCATCGTAGACAATTTTTAATTCCTCTGGACTTTCGCTGCCACTCTGCACTGTGGCTTTATCGAATTTCAATTGACGTGCATTCAAAACAAATGAATTAGTTTCTTCGACCACAGTCACATCGATTGTTACGACACCGGTAAACTCGCGAATGCCCTCATCGACACGCGTCGTTAAAACGATATCATAGTGAGAGGGTATGGTATTATTTGGTAAACGATAGTTGAGATCTTCGCGAGGAGTTCCTGTTAACACGGATTCCCTTTCGACAGGGAATTTATAATGGCTGGCGGATTTCACTGATCCTGCCACGGCAAGGATCGCTATTGCCGAAAATACTACCAGACGACTGTTCATGTTGTTTCTGCGACAAATGTCAACATGACTCTGTTCGTTGCCAAATAATTGTTGGACCTTTTATGACTTCTGCAATGTTTTTTTTTTTTTTTTTTTTTTTTGAGATAATCGAACCATGTTTATTATATTGACATGTCCGTTATCGGCTTTATAAGATTTGCGTGTACAGTATGGTCGATAATTGGTAACTTAATCAGTTATTAGTTAAGTCGTGAAATTAGATTAGAAATCGTTTGAAATTTTAATGGAAAACAACGTCTATGTCGCCACAACATTTATCCATCGATGACATATAAGAACAAGTAAAAAAACATTAAGTTCGGCCGGGTGAAACTTTTAATACCCTCCACCTTAGGGTAAAAGAAACATTAGAAGAAATGTGGCAAAAACCATTAAAATGCCGAATATCGGGAGGTACCGTTATATGGGGGCTATACCACACCGTGGACCTATACATGCAATGTTTTGCCACAAGCTCAGGGACCCGCTATGACCTACAGATACCAATTTTCAGACAAATCCATGAAAAAAATTTGGCATAAATCATCAAAATACCGAATATCGGGAGGTACCGTTATATGGGGACTATACCAAAACGTGGACCCATACATGCAATGTTTCGCCACCGGAGCTGGAACCCATTATGACCAACAAATACCAAATTTCAGACAAATCCGTGAAAAAATGTGGCAAAAGTCATCAAATTACCGAATATCGGGAGGTACCGTTATATGGGGACTATACCAAATTATGGACCTATACATGCAATGTTTTGCCACACGCTCAGGGACCCGTTATGACCTACAAATACCAATTTTCAGACAAATTTGTGAAAAAATGTGGCAAAAATCATCAAATTACTGAATATTGGGAGGTACCGTAATAAGGGGATAGTCCCATATAACGTGGACCGATATATCTCATTTTCAATATGCTGATTATGAATATATATACTTTATGGGGTCTACGACGACAAAGTTAATATACCCTCCCTTCCAAGGTGGAGGGTATAAAAACACAAGAACTTTTATGCCATGTCAAGAATAATAATTGTCGTAATTAGCTCTGAATGTATGTTAACCATAAACATGCTTAAGTACTTCAGAAATAATCAGACTACTTGAGAATAATGACAGAGGTTTTATCAAAATTTAATCTGACATTCTCAAGCATTTCATGGAAATTATTTGTGGTACTTTCTTTTGTTGGTCGTGTGTTTATAGGCATTCGGATATAGAATCCCCGGCGGGATTTTTAGGTGAAGTTATATTGTTTAATTGACGAAAATAGTCATATATTAGTGACTTGTAAAGGAACGACTCCATAGAAGTGGTTTTATGTGTGGTAGTATAAAAGTCGTTCTGCGTATCTTTCATTTATAGGAAACTGTTCTGGTTGTTTTAGTTACAAAAATCTGTAGGAAATCTAAGACTGGAAAAAATTACATCTACAGATGTGCTTTATAGCCAAGATTTTTAGAAGGGTTTCTATTTATTCAAGTCCTTCAGAAGATCTTCTTTATATTAAACAAGTAAAAAAGCAGCTAAGTTGAGACGGGCCGAACTTTTTATACTCTCCACCATTGGGAAACAACTTAAAAATTAAAAAAAATCCATCGAAAGATACTGTTATATGTGGGCTATACACAGACGTGGACCTGCGTATAAAATTTTCCGTCAAAGTTTAAAGTGCACATTACGAACCCCAAAATACAGAAAATCGGAGGAAACGTTGTATGGGGGGTATTCGATATCGTAGACCTATATAGATAGTTCTATTTTAGATGGCAAAGTATTCAGAAGGAAATCCTTATGTGGATTTTCGGACAATTCTATTGAAAATTGTAGCTAAAATCATCAAAATACCTATATAGACAATTCTCTTCCAGGGGGTAGAGTAATCAGAACAAACTCCTTGTGTGGATTTTCAGACAATTCCATTGAAAAATTTGGCTACGATATCGTGGACCATTTTCGAACTTGATCTGCCTGGAGACAAATGACTGACGTGGATCTATATAGACAATTCTCTTTCAGGGGGTAGAGTATTTAGAACAAACTCCTTGTGTGTGGTCAAATTTGTTCCAAATGGTGGAGGGTGTTCAAAGTTCGACCTAGCCGAACTTACTGCTTTTTTTAATTGTCTATATAAGAACCCCTAAAAAAATTTCTGGCTATAGAAACCCTTCTAAAGGTCTTCTGATCATAGAATACATCCAAAAGGTCTTCAAGGAAAAGAAGATTTTCTAAAGGTATTCTGGCTATGGAACAATTTTTTTGGGCCTTCTGTATAAGGATTCCTTCAAGAGGTTTCTATTTAGAGCAATCTCTCGAAAAAATCGTCTATTTATAGAAGACTTTCCTCAAAGGCCTTTAGAAGACATGCAACAGATATTTAGGCTACAGATGACCTCATAAATGTCGTCTGCTTATAGAAAACATTCTAAAGGTCACCTGGTAATAAAACAACTTCCATAGGCCTTCTGTATAAAGAATATCTTTAGAAAGCTTCTGCGTGTAAAAGTACTTCCAAAAATTCTCCAGAGGACTTGTATTCGAAAGGTTTTCTGTTTATGGAAGATTTATTTAAGGTTTCCTGTTTAGAGCGGACATTTGAAATATCATTTTACAGAAGTCTCTTGTTTATAGAAGTTTCTCTTGTGTATAGTAATCACTATATAAGACCGTCAACTTTTTGTTTCTCTTAAAGAATGAGAATACATCCAAAAGGTCTTTTTCTGGATATAGAATACCAGCGGGAAGCTTCTGCGTATAGGAACCCTTCGAAAGGTCATCTGTGTAGAAAACCTTTGGAAGGTCTTCCAGTTAAGTGAATCCTTCTAAGGTCTTCTATTTATAGAGATCTTCAAGAGCCCAATTTTGATCTAAACCCGTATGTGTTCTACATATGATATGGTCCAAATCTATTGAAAAGTGGTGCAAAGTATTGGTAAAGATTCGCAAATATTGAAATATTGGCTGACATTTAATAATGAGACAAAAATTGTGAAATGTCAGTTAAAGTTTTTTTCCAATACAAAAATTTTGAAATGTAAGTTTATTTATTTTTTTTTTTTTTTTTTGTAGGTCGCAAAAATTTAGATAAATGGTCCACAATCTAAATTTTCAACATTTACTTATTTCGTGAATGGTAACACTTAGTAAATTGAAATTGACGGCGTTACGTAGTACCACAAAGCCGAAGCTACACTCAATTTTTAAAAAAGCAAAAACTAGTTAAGAAGTATCAGTCGGTTTTGCTGGCAGATGTATACCCTCAGCCAATATTTGATTATTTAAATATATTTTGACTTCTGTTATGATTAATCAAATTGTTGATCCTCTATAGGTTCCGAAGAAGTGGACCAATATTGACTATTTCGTATCAGACCCAAGTACATATGAAATAAATATTATGACGTGCCAGGTGTGGACTATATTGACTACTTCCTTCACTTTCTTTGTGCGTTTGGTTTTTCAAAATCTTGAACCCTATGTGGAACATGTACCAGAAGAAATGGTCTGATCTTTATAACAGATCTTGTGTTGATAGAAATATTGAGATATGCCAATTCTGAATGAATATTAATTTCGCGTTTTATGAGGGCCATTGATCTTCAAAAACTTGACCCTTTGTGGGGGAGGTACCAGGGTCAATATTGTCAATTTTCGCACCTGCCGTAGCACGGATGCAAATATTAGGATTTGCAAAGTTGGAGCAAAGTCGGATTATCCTTTCTCTTTCAGTGCAGTAATATATACATTTTTGTAAATTTCGACCTTTTGTGGAGGAGGCACCAGAAGGAGTGGGCCGATATTACCCATCTTCGAACTCGATCTAAGTTTGACAATAATATTACGATGTACCAAATTTGTATAAAATCGGATACTCCATTCGAGAGTTATCGTTCGCATCAGCCAGACAGACGGTCGGGCGGATATCGCTAGATCGAGTCCAAATGTCCTGAAACGGTCCAAAGAGACTTAGGGTCTAAAACCTTTATTGCGATGAGGCACGTTTTGGCCGTATATATATTATATTATATACCCTCTTTAACCATATGGCTGAGGTTATATAAATAAATAAAATGCGGTCCCTATGCAGAAGTTAACGATCGGAACGCTCATAAGGTCACAATTGACCATTCTCTGCTCTACGTTTAACCACTTCAGCCCATTGTAGAATTTCACATTATACCATACTCCCGACCCTGTAATCATGCATTCCATTGTTGATTGCAGAAAACTTTCTCCCGTGAGCTGGTGAAAGCAATCTCCTTTGTACACCAACACACCGACGTAGTACAAAAATTGTTTTTAAAATCAGGGACGCATAAACAAAAACAATACAATCACAGCGGCATGGAGACATCATTGTATGGTGCATTCAATTCAATTAATTAACTCTTATACCAACTGTTATACGACAAAGTCTCTCTCTCTCTCTATCTCCCTTTTTTGGAATACGCATTGTTATCTTATCAACCAAACGCATGTGGATGTGACATCGCCTTTCAATGTATTTCGATCACTTATCAATGGAGAGCCTTGGCTCATCGATTTCGTTTTCGAAATTCTATGTTTAGTTGAGTTATATTTGTCGTATTGAACGGTTGTGGTTCGCGTCAAACGGGGACGTGGACATTGGAATTTTGATAATGGCACGACCGATTAATAAATTTCTGAATAAAAAATGGAAAGTTCTTATTTTGCCTATTCTACTGTTGTTACCGCCAACCCTGGTGGTCATGGGCCAACAGACAGCCGATGATAATTCTGGGATAACGGAAGTGGAAGAGCCGACAACAGTTTCCTCGACGAGCCCTCAACCACCACCGGCAACGTTAAAAGATAGACCTATCCGACTGCCAAACTCTTCCTTTCCTTTGGAATATAATCTACACATCATTACAAATATCCACGAAGGTGGCCTGTACTTTAAGGGCAATGTCACCATTGACATCGAGATACGCGAGACCACCGATGAGATTGTACTGCATGCCAAACATCTTTCCAATTTCATTATAACTGCCACCGATTTGGACAGCGGTGATATGCTGAGGGATCTAACCTTTAGCGTGGATGATCGTCGTCATTTCCTCATCATTCATGGCCAGGAATATTATCAAATCTTTGAGGTGGGAAAGAAGTATAGTTTGGAAATACTCTACGATGGCACAATGAATGAAGATCATTTGGGCCTTTATTGGCTGGCATATCGTGATGCCGGAAATCAGGTCATGTAAGTAAGCTCAGCAGTGGGGTGACAAAACTGAATCGAAATGTGAGTCAGCAGGGGGTTAACTTCCACGAAACGAGTGTCAAATTCGGTGGAATTATTTTTATTCACAAAACAAACGGAATAAGTGGAAAACATACATAAATAATATTTTTGTCAGTCTGAGTCTGGCCACTGATAAGGAGATAAACATTGAAACCCCATGTTTCGTCATAGCAAGTTCAATCAATAACAAAAACAATAACATCACAACCATCTACAAATTAAAAAAAAAAAAAATTAAAAAAGTTGCTACGTTGTCATGAGTACTATGCACTCTCTTTTTATTGTTGCCGTTGTTGTTGATAAACATTAGACCACTATTATTGAATCGAAAGTATTTTGTTAAATAATATTGTTGATATAGTTATCGCAGCATTGATAGTGCGATAGCTTCATTCGAGAAAGGTAAACAAAAAGCTAATTGAGCAAACTTCGCCGGGGTGCGACATTACAACTGTTTACGCCCCAATTAAGTTTTACTACGACGAACGAGAGGAAGATATCAGTGAATTTATCTGTGAAAATATAACCCTATGCCCAAATATTGGCAAAGAGAGAGTAGTATAAAACAATTCCCTACAACACTATAATTTAAGGTAAAATTTCTGAAAATCCCAAACCCGTTGCCACCAAAATTAATGGGGTACAGGGTTGCCCATATGCGACGGACCCATGTTTTTTTTTTTTAATCAAAGAAAAAAATAAAAATTTGGCGGTTGGCAATGTTAATCATTTAATTTGTTCCAAGTAGATTTGTTTACATCAATTTTTGAATATGATATCTCTCAAATGGCCGCCTCTGGCGTTGATGACGTATTGTGCCCTTTTTGCTGCATTTTCCATCGTTTTTGCCAACATTTCGGCCGGAATGGCGGCTATTTCTTCACGAATGTTGTCGTCTTGTTGAAACCAGAACTGCCTCATACGCTTTCGACGAATAATTGACATCACAAAATTGGTCATCATGTCGCGATAACGCTCCTGATTAATGGTAACAGCATGGCCATTTTCATTTTGGAAGAAAAACGGCCCAATGACCGTTTTCGCACTAACGCCGCACCAAACTGTGACTTTTTCGTCATGAAGAGGCACTTCTTGAATCTCCTGAGGATTTTCAGTGGCGTAAAAACTGCAATTTTGCTTATTTACGGTCCCATTCAATGTGAAATGGACTTCATAGGACATGATAATTTTGTTCCAAAATTGCTCGTCATATTCGGCCATTTCGATGACTCTTTGGGCCCATTCCAATCGACGAGGCTTGTCCGCAGGCAACATTCTTCGCGTCAATTGAATTTTGTACGGGAACAAATGCAAATCAATGCGAATAATCCGTTGTAAAGTGGACCGAAACATGCCCAATTGCTGAGAACGGCGTTTTTGGAATGTTCTTGGGGACCTCTCAACACTGGCTCGTACGGCAGCGATATTCTCGGCCGATCGTTTTGGTCGACTTTTATATGGCCTCTTCGGATTAGAAAGAGCCCTACCAGTCGAAAATTTTTCGTATAAACGCTTAACGGTGTTCTTAGAAGGCGCACTTCTCACATTTTTTAATATTTTAAAAGCACGAATAGTTTTTGCAATTGACTTCTTCTGTTGAATGTAAATTTCAACTATTTCAGAGCGCTCGCGTGGCGTGTATTGGTTCATGGTAAAAATCTGCTTGGACTGACGCTTCGAACGCGGTATGTCATTAAGCGATGTGACATCTCTGTCAAAAGTTATGGTGTTGCCAGATGGGTCCGTCGAATATGGGCAACCCTGTACATAATTTTACATAATACCAGGTAATAATTTCCTGATTTAAGGTAGTTGTTGTCACTATTTTATTACTCCCTTTAAAGATGACCAGAGTCACGAGACAATGTCAAATTCTATGGCAATCGCCCTCTGTCGTACTTACGGGAATTCGAAACTATATTTGAAAATTTAGATTCATATGTATATTTTGCAATCCTTCCATTTTAGATGAGTCATTTTTATACCCTCAGCCATATGGCTAGAGAGAGTATATATCATTTGATAGGTCAAAACGTGCCTAATCAAAATAACGCTCTTAGACTCTAGGTGTCTTTGGACCAAATCCGTTTCAGGACATTTGGAGTCGATAAAGCGATGTCCGTTTGTCTGGCTAGTGCGCACGGGAGGGAGTTTATCTAAACTTGGTACATCATAATATTTATGTCAAACTTAGATCGAGTTCGGTAATATAACCACCCCCCCCCCCCCTCCTAATCCGATTTTGCTCCAACTATGTATATCGTAATATTTGCTTGATGCAAGGCCAGGTCAGATGTGAAAATGGACAATATCGGTCCACTCCAACAAGTACCTCGCCCACAAAGGGTCAAATTTTTCAATAATAACAGCTCTTATAAAATGTGATCTAAGAGTCAGATTGTCTTTAAATTTCACACATCCCAATATTTTTATTAACCCAAGGTCTAATGTTAAGTTGAATTATATCGGTCCTCTCCATCAAGTGCCTCCCCCACAATGGTCAACATTTTGAATCATTTCAACTCATAAAATGTGATGGAAGAGTTCTATTGTCTTCAAATTACATACATTACAATATTGTTATGAATCCGAGGTCTGGTGTGAAGATGGGATATATTGGTCCACTCCTTCTAGTACCTACCCCACAAAGGGTCAACATTTTAAATATCCATGAAGCTCATAAAACGCGAAATTAACATCCGATTCCATTAAGACTTGGCACATATCAACATATCTATTATAAGAATGATAGACATCGGACCATTTCTTCTGGTACCTCCCCCATATAGGGTTCAATATTTTGAAAAGCGAAACGCTCCAACATAGCGAAATAACCATCTAACTCTCTTCAAATTTCACACATACAAACATTTTTGCTAACTTAAGATCTGTTGTGAAGATGGTATATAACTGCGGACTCCTTCTGTTACCTCACGCACAGTGAGTCACAATTTTCAATACTGTTATCTGTCATAACTTGCGATACAAGTCAGCGATTCTTTACAACTTGCTATATCTTAATATTTCTCTCAACCAGACACCTGAGACACCTTCGAATAAAATTTATAAAAATATAAATATTCGATTTTCTTGTAAAATTACAACTTGGTTTTACCCGAATTTTGAATTATAAAATAAATTCACTCAAAAGCCATGTTTACAAAATTAGTTTCAGAACTTTTCCCTTTATTTACAATTTAACTAATTATTGAGAGGAGGAAAAAACGTAAATTCGAAACATAGTTTATTCATCTATGATCTTCTCTATTACAGTTACCAAGCAGCGACTCAATTCGAGCCTACAAGTGCAAGACTTGCAGTTCCCTGCTATGATGAACCGGCCTTTAAGGCAAATTTTACAATAAGGATAACACACGGAAACACCTATACCGCCATATCAAATATGCCCATGAAAGAGGTGATACACCACAAGTAAGTAGAATTTGTGATCTCTTTATTCTGAAAAATAACTTCTCAATATTTCCCATCGTTCTAGTGACAGTGATTTGCTGACAACAATTTTCCACCCCACACCACCGATTTCAACATATCTGGTAGCATTTGTGGTATCAAATTTCGGCTATATATCCAAGAGGCAGGGCCATGTCACACAACGCGTTTTCACACCGACAACGTCGAAAAATAAAGGCGAACACCAGCTGGAGTTTGCCATTCGGACAGTGGCTGCCATCGAAGAATACTTGGGTGTTGATTATTCATTGGACAAGCTGGATCATGTGGCGCTGAATAAAAACTACGGTGCGGCCATGGAAAATTGGGGTCTTATTACGTATCGTGAAAATTTTCTACTCTATTCTGAAAATGATTTACGGCATCGTTTCCGCGATACCATAACAATTGTCCATGAAATTGTACACCAATGGTTTGGCAACTTGGTTTCACCCGAATGGTGGTCCTATGCATGGTTGAATGAAGGATTTGCCACCTACTTTTCACATGTCATTATTGATATGGTATGGTATTTGGGTAGATATGCAATTTTTGGAATTTTATATAAATAGGTTTTTTTCTTTCAGCTTCACCCAGAATTTAAACCATTGGAATATTTCATTATGGATACTGCCTACAGGGCGTATAGTTATCACAAGTATAGTACCCGATGGCGTTCCATGACCCATTACGTGGAGGAAGAAAAGGATATTGTGGATATTTTCGATTTAATTGGCTATCAGAAAGGTATGGTTTATTGACTTTGTCTAAATGTCTTCAATGACCATTCCATCAAAAACTTTAAAAAAAGGTTTCAATGAAATTGAGTTCGTGTACAAAAAAATAAAAAAATACAGTCCCATGGACTGTATTATTTCCGTCTAGAAAAAAATCACAGTCCCTGGGACTGTATTTTTTCCGTCTAGAAAAAAATCACAGTCCCTGGGACTGTATTTTTTCCGTCTAGAAAAAAATCACAGTCCCTGGGACTGTATTTTTTCCGTCTAGAAAAAAATCACAGTCCCTGGGACTGTATTTTTTCCGTCTAGAAAAATATCACAGTCCCTGGGACTGTATTTTTTCCGTCTAGAAAAATATCACAGTCCCTGGGACTGTATTTTTTCCGTCTAGAAAAAAATCACAGTCCCTGGGACTGTATTTTTTCCGTCTGGAAAAAAATCACAGTCCCTGGGACTGTATTTTTTCCGTCTAGAAAAAAATCACAGCCCCGGGACTGTATTTTTTCCGTCTAGAAAAAAATCACAGTCCCTGGGACTGTATTTTTTCCGTCTAGAAAAAAATCACAGTCCCTGGGACTGTATTTTTTCCGTCTAGAAAAAAAACACAGTCCCTGGGACTTCATTTTTTCCGTCTAGAAAAAAAATCACAGTCCCTGGGACTGTATTTTTTCCGTCTAGAAAAAAACTCACAGTCCCTGGGACTTCATTTTTTCAATCTAGAAAAAAAATCACAGTCCCTGGGACTTCAATTTTTCCGTCTAGAAAAAAAATCACAATCCCTGGGACTGTATTTTTTCCGTCTAGAAAAAAATCACAGTCCCTGGGACTGTATTTTTTCCGTCTAGAAAAAAATCACAGTCCCTGGGACTGTATTTTTTCCGTCTAGAAAAAAATCACAGTCACTGGGACTGTATTTTTTCCGTCTAGAAAAAAAATCACAGTCCCTGGGACTGTATTTTTTCCGTCTAGAAAAAAAATCACAGTACCTGGGACTGTATTTTTTTCGTCTAGAAAAAAAATCACAGTCCCTGGGACTGTATTTTTTTCGTCTAGAAAAAAATCGCAGTCCATGGGACTTTATTTACTCCATCTAGAAAAAAAAATCACAGTCCCTGGGAGCGTATTTTTTCCGTCTAGAAAAAAATCACAGTCCCTGGGACTGTATTTTTTCCGTCTAGAAAAAAATCACAGTTCCTGGGAATGTATTTTTTCCGTCTAGAAAAAAATCACAGTTCCTGGGAATGTATTTTTCCCGTCTAGAAAAAAATCACAGTCCCTGGGACTGTATTTTTTCCGTCTAGAAGTAAATCACAGTCCCTGGGACTGTATTCTTTCCGTCTAGAAATAAATCACAGTCCCTGGGACTGTATTTTTTCCGTCTAGAAAAAAATCACAATCCCTGGGACTGTTTTTTTTCCGTCTAGAAAAAAATCACAGTCCATGGGACTGTATTTTTTCCGTCTAGAAAAAAATCACAGTCCAAGGGATATAGTTTTTCTGTCTAGACCAAGTCACAGTTCCTGAAAAATCACAGTCCAAGGGATATAGTGTTTCCGTCTAGAAAAAAATTTCCAGTCCCTGGGACTGTATTTTTCCCGTCCAGAAAAAAGTCATAGTCTGTGGGACTGTATATTTTCCGTCTAGAGAAAAAAATCACAGTCCCTGGGACTGCATATTTTCCGTCTAGAAAAAAATCACAGTCCCTGGGACTGTATTTTTTCCGTCTAGAAAAAAATCACAGTCCAAAGGATATATAGTTTTTCTGTCTAGACCAAGTCACAGTCCCTGGGACTGCATTTTTCCGTCTAGAAAAAAATCACAGTCCAAGAGATATAGTGTTTCCGTCTAGAAAAAAGTCACAGTCCCTGGGACTGTATTTTTCCGTCCAGAAAAAAGTCATAGTACCTGGGACTGTATTTTTCCGTCCAGAAAAAAGTCACAGTCCGTGGGACTGTATATTTTTCGTCTAGAGAAAAAAATCACAGTCCCTGGGACTGCATATTTTCCGTCTAGAAAAAAATCACAGTCCCTGGGACTGTACTTTTTCCGTCTAGAAAAATGTTTGTCCCTGTCGTAGGTATATGATCTTAAACCCGCTCACGGGAGACCTCTTTAACAGCCAATCGTTAATTTCTTAAATTAAAAAGTGCTCAATATTTATGAAACCCACTTCACTTTTTTCCTCTCAATAGCTGCCTGTGTCATTAAAATGTTCCATCACGCCTTCGGCCAGAAAACTTTCATGCGCGGCATTCAACAGTATTTGCTCAAATAGTAAGTCCACCTCATAAATCTCACTGAGATGATGGTCAATAACAATTAATCTGAAAAAGTTTTTACCCTCCATGTCAAGTCAGTATTCGGTGGCCAATGAAATGGATTTGTTTGGGTGTCTGCAAAAAGCTCTAGAGCAAGAACATGCCGAAGAGAAATCAGAGAAATCGTGGATACCTTTAGTATCAGAGATAATGCTCTCGTGGACGCATAGCAAACAAGTTCCGATTATCAAAGTGATACGGAACTATGAAAACAATACCATAACTCTGGTGCAACATCAACGGCCGCCATTTGCGGAAAATCTTTGGATTCCATTGAATTTTGCCTCCAGTTCGGATCATGATTTTCAAAATACTGCAGCCGATTACTTTATGCCGCCGGTGGAGAAACAAACCGTTAATGCCTCGGATTTGGGAATTCATTTGGAGCCAAGTGATTGGTTAATTGTCAATAAGCAGCAAACGGGATTCTATCATGTCCTTTATGATGATGAGAATTTGCGGCGAATTGCCCATGCCCTGCAGGAGAATCATTTGGATATCCATGAATTCAATCGGGCGGATATTTTCTATTGTCTTCAGCCTTTGATCGATCACAATGAGGTGGAAAATATCAATGTCATTTTTGAGCTGTTGAGCTACCTTAGCCATGAGGAGGAGTTGTTGGTGTGGAATTTTGTCCAGGCCACAGTGGAACTATTCGAACGCCATCTGGACAATACGGCCTCCCACGAACACTATAAACAATTTGTTCGGCATTTGGTGAGGCCAATCTATTTGAAATATTTCCCCTCCATACTGGAGGCCCGCCTGGCCATAAGTGAGAAAACCGGCTCCGAACATACCTCACGTCAAAATCTACTCAAAATGGCTTGCCATGTTGATCTATCCGAATGTCTGGACTATGCTCGCCAGTTGGCCTTCGATTATATCTTCCAACAAATTGAGTTTGTGTCATCCAAGGAAGATTACTATGTTGTGACCGGTGATGTATTGTGTTATGGTCTTAAATATCTTACCGATGAAGAGTTCCACAATGTGGTGGAAGTTTTGTTGGCCACCAATCGTGATACCATGTTCTTTGATGACATCATCATTGCCTTACGTTGTACCCAGAACCCGGTACACATACGTCTATATCTTGATATGATAATAGGTCCAAACGCCACGGAATTTATTACCAATCCAAATGATTCGGCCTTGAATGTCAAACGTCTATCGCGTGCCAATGGTCGATCGCGATCCATTCTACGCCAATACATTGCCAATAATTTTAGGACCCTTATGGAATATCCATATTTCACAGAAATATTTAATATTATGGCCGAATATGTACCAACAACCCACAGTCATCAGGTATGTAAAAGCCACATTTATACACATTGACAATTTTGAAACGTTTTTTTGTTTTCAGTTCCGTACATTCCATGAACTAATATCCAGAGAAATGAAATTGCTCGCCACCAAAGTAGAGTACAATTCACCACTGATAGAACCCAATTCCCAGGATGTGGGAAAACAAATTAAAATGACCGAAACATTTTTGGATAAATTCGAACCAGACATCTACGATTGGTTGACCAAACACCAGCGGCCAGTGTATGCCGCCTCATTGGCCCCCCAACGAAACAGTTCTCCAAACCGTTTTGGTCCCATCCTACGCTTAGCCGGAAATCTCTATAGAAAATTATTTAAAACTACAAATTAAGTTCGTAATAAGCCTCAGTTCCAACCTGCACAATGTCCCTCACAAATCATGTTGTTATGCAAATGCAAAAATAATATAGAAACTATTGAAAAAAACTATAAAATTGGTGTTGAAAATAAGTCTCATTATCGTTATCCAATCCCTGAATCCACAAAAATGACTAATTTTTTCTTAACATAAGTTCTCAATGACATTTTCGAAACTTGTTACAAAGAAAATATTTTTTGTTTTCTTGGGCAATTTTCTGTCATAGGAGGTAGTACATATTGTGAGCGCCCAATACTAAATATAGAAGAGACAAGCAAGTGTTCGCTATTTCGTCAGCAAAAAGTCTACCTTGACATTTTAGATTCGATGCAACAGATCGTGTTGGGCCTTTTATACCCTACATCAGATAGTGGTAACTATAACGTCTTTGTGCATTTATTTGTAATATGCAGAAGAAAGCGAGATAGACCCATAGTTGCTTTTGGGAGTTTCTTCATAGAATCACTTTCTGAGTCGATGTATGTATGTCAGTCCGTCCGTCCGTCTGTCCATGAATTTTGTGAACGAAAAACAGGACGCACTTATTATAATATCAGTCTTAATGACCTGAATTTTTTGTACCTTTGACTGATTTGGATATAGCTCCCATATGTACCTTTATCCGATTTAAGGTTTATTGTGCACCAAATGACTAATATCAGCCCAAATAATGTGAATTGTGGCACTTCTGACCGAGTTCAGCCTAGAATCGTGTACTTAAAATTATGTGAAAATCGGTTCAGATTTAGCTATAGCTCCCATATATAACATGTGCAATATTCACTCCACAACAATGATATTTGATACAGGTCATCGGATACAGCTCAAAAATACTTCTGCCGAGTTTTATCGAGATCGGTTTAGATTTTTATATACCTTCGATATACAACTTCATTCGATTTTAGGGTTATTGTCCACTATACATGAGATGGAAAAACTGCAACCAACTTTAGACTGCTGTCATTTCTAAGCCACTCGTCCAACAGCTGTTAAAATTATTCCAGTGATAGCTTTTGTACGGCAAATATTAAAAAAATAAATTGCAAATAGTGAACTTACACCGCAATAGAAAGAAAATAGACTCAAAAGAGCTAAAGAGTTGCTTCGCTTGGCTGAAAGTGATGAACTGCCGAATTTGGTTTTCTCCGATTAGAAAACATTCGTTGTCCGACAGAGGTCAGCTGAAAATGTGCACCTTCGGGTGGCCACCAGAATTCAAGCGCCGGCCGACCATGATGATGGTGTGGCCCGCCATAACAGCCGATGGTTGCTCTCCGCTCGTATTAATCGACCATGGCATCAAATCGAAAATATTCTGGAGAGTTTATTAAAGCCTTGGGCACGCATACATTTTTGCCGCAGACCTTGGACATTCCAACAGGACTCAGCACGTGGCACCCAAAAATGGTTACAAAATGAGTTTCCTCGCTTCATTTCCAGCGAACAATGGCCACCAAAATCTCCGGATACCAATCCGTTGGACTATTGTGTCTGGAGTTTTGGAAAGCAAGGTTGGCACTTAAAAATACCAAAGTGTAGATCACCTCAGGCAAGCGCTTCGCCGGGAATGGGCCAAAATACCGCAGAGCCACATTCGGGCAGCGTGCGACGGTTTCATTGACCATTTGAAGGCCATAATTCGTGCCAAAGGTGACCAATTCGAACAAATCTAAACTTATTCTACAATTTGATGCTATTTTCGACATTTTCTGCTTTCATTCAATAAAATTAAAAAAAAAAATGTTAAAATTATGACGTTTGACTTTGTTGCACTTTTTTTATCTCACCCTGTATATTGTTCATCCGATTTGATATATTTGTCCTTCGCAGCCGTAATATGCACACGGTAACAACTATATTTGGGGAAACGTATCAAATACAGCACAGAAATATATTTTCGAAATTATATCCAGATCGGTTCAGATTTGGATATAGCTCCCATATATATCTTCGTCTGATTTGCTTTTTATTGCGCACCAAACGTGCAATATCAATCCAAATAATTTTGCACTTACGACCAAATTGAGCAAAGAAACAAGTATGTCAAATTTGATGAAAATCGGTTCAGATATAGCTATAGCCCCCATATACATTGTTCAACCGATTTGTTATATTTTTTTGCTTGTTATATGAAACTCCACTAAATTTGCAAAAGGGTATAGGGTATCATAAAGTCGGCCCGCCCGGCATTTAGATTTCCTTTACTGGTTATATTGAGCTTTACACACCAATTTGTATGGTATATTTGAAAAGCTACTTTTAAAATATTTGGAATGACCTTGTGTGTCACGTTTTTTTCGGTATTGTAAACCTTTTTTTGAAGTTCAAATCTTATCGGTACAAATTGCTTATTTATGACCACAATATTTTAGTTTTATGATGAAATTTTGAAACTATCGCTCTCACATTCTATTTTGGATGTCGTAAAGTGTTGTCAAGCCCATGAATATCACACAAATTATCTGACAAACAAAATATTTAAAATTTATAACCTATTTTTTTGGTGGTTGCATTACATTTTTGTTTAAGATTTGATTAAAAAGTGTGGTTAACCTGGACACTATGATGAAATTAATTTTTTTAATGGCCCAGAATAGGTTTCTGTCACACACAATTGTAGGTTTTTTTTTGGTGTATTCAAATGCTATTCGTTTTAAATTTATAACATTTGTTTATAAAGGGAAACCACTATGGGTAAATCCTGGTGATAAGATTATGAACAATTTGTAGTTTTAATCTGATAATAATTGAAAAATTCAAGATGTTTTTGGCATATTAGAAAAAGCATTCTTTTGATAGGAAATGTAGGAATCTTTTGAAGCATAATCGAAATTTACGGATTTGAAGAGACCACCAATCGACCCAAATCTGAAGTGGGGGGAGTGTACATTACATTGACAAATCTGACAATCAAATGCAAACTGATTTTTTTTTTTTTTTTTTTTTTTTTGACAAAAATATATATTTTGAAAAAAAAAAAACGTTGACTTCTCATTTTTAAATATTTTATCATGGTATATTATTTTCTTTTGTGAATTTCGTAAAGGAAGATAGTTAAAAAGAAGAATACTTAAATACATTGAAATTTTCCTTTTTGAGAAATAGTTAAAAAAAATTAAATGGGAAGAAAACTCAATCAAATAATGAAATACACTTGTTTCTATGCTCAATTGGAAGCACTTGTTTCTAGGCTCAATTCCGTTGTATGTGCCAAATTCCACCATTCCATTTGGTGCACAATAAAAGGCAAATCGGACGAAGATATATGGAAGCTGTAACTATTTTTTTTTTGGTATCAAACACATGACTTGCATGCAAAACAAAACTTTTAACGCACAAGTCTTCGGTCGGGTCCTGATACTTTTAAAAGCCCTCTGATTTTGAATATTTTTCTGAGATTGACATTTTACCTTTAGCAAGCAATGGTGTTTTTTCTAGGTACGGATTCGGTATATGGTTCCGATATTCCGATTTAAAACAAGTAAGCAAAGGCTATAGTCGTGCGGGCCCGATCATGTGATACCCTACAACAAACAATAAAATGTGATGAAAATGTTCACCTTCGATTGGCCACCAGAACTCAAGCGCCGACCATGGTGATGGTGTGGGCCGCCATAACAGCCGTCGCTCTCGGCTCGTATTAATCGACCATGGCTTCAGAATAAATGCCGAATATTATCGCGAAAATATTCTGGAGGTTGTACTAAAGACTTGGTCTCGCAAACATTCCCGCAGATCTTGGACATTCTAGCAGGACGCAGCACAATCGCACTCAGCACGCGCCATCCAAGAATGGTTACAAAATGAGGTTCCTCGATTCATTTCCACCAATGGCCACCAAAATCTCCGGATACCAATCCGTTGGAGTATTGTGTCTGGAGTATTTTGGAAAGCAAGGTTGGCACTAAAAAATATCAAAGTGTCAATCACCTCAGGTTAGCTCATCGCCGGAAATGGACCAAAATACCGCAAAGCAACATTCGGGCAGCGTGTGACGGTTTCGTTGGCCGTTTGAAGGCCATAATTCGTGGCAAAGGTGACCAAATCGAACAAATCTAAACTTATTCTAAAATTTGATGCTATTACCTCAATCTCAGTCTCAATGGAATCGGATGGTAATTTCGTGTTATATGAGCTTCATGGATATCCAAAATGTTGATCCTTTGTGGGGGAGGTAGCAGAAGTAGTGTGCCAATATATTCCATTAATCTGCTGTTAGCAGAAATAATGAGACGTGCGAAATATGAAGGGAATCGAATTTTATGATCGTTTTGGTTATTCAAAACTTTGATCCTTTACCAGGTACCAGAAGGAATGGTCCGATCCCTACCATCTTTATAACAGATCTTACGTTGATGGAAATATTGAGATGTGCCAAGTCTCAATGGAATCGGATGTTAATTACGCATTTTATGATCTTCATAGATATTCAAAATGTTGACCCTTTGTGGGGAGTGGACCGATATCCATTTCGCACCTGAGCTAGCTCTGAAGCAAATATTAGGATTTGCAAAGTTGGAGAACTATGGGATTATCCTTTCTCTTTCTGTGCAGTAAAAGATTTTTTGAAAATATCAAATTTTATGAGGGAGGTACCAGAAGAAGTGGACCGATATTGCCCATCTCCGAACTCGATCTAAGTTTGATAATAATAATACGATTTAGCAAATTTGGCCCAAATCGGATACTCCTTCCGAGTGATATCGTGCACACCAACCAGCCAGACAGACAGCCGGACGGGTATCGTTAGATCAACTCCAAATGCCCTGAAACGAATTTGGTCCAAAGAGACCTTGGGTCTAAAACCGTTATTTCGAAAAACCGTTAAAACCGTTTCACGTTTTAGTCGTGCCTCATCTAATCCAAAAAAAAATATTTGAAGAAAATCAGACATTTATTACTATTTTTTTTTTTTTTTTTTGGAATAATCGTAAATCATAATTTTAACCTTTGTGGGGTAGGTACAAGAAGAAATGGGCCAATAAATTCCATTTTTACATATATATATATATATATATATATATATATATATATATATATATATATATATATATATATATATATATATATATATTTATTTATTTATTTTTTTTTTTTTTGATCAGTTTAAAATTCTAGGACGATTTACCCAGATCAAACTTTTGTGTGCATGCATGTCAATTGTACACAAGGGGGGTATAGGTACACAATATCGTATATCTCTCATATAACAAATACCTCCCGATATTCGGTATTTTGACGATTTTAGCCAAATGTTTCATTGTAATTGTCTGGAATTCCACACCAGAAGTTTCTTTTGACCAGTTTACCCCCCTGGAATTGTATATATAGGTCCACGATATCGTATAGCCCCCATATAACGCTACCCCCAAATATTCGGGATTTTGATGGTATATTCAAATTTCGTGTTTAAGATTTGTAATGAGTAGTACCGTTTATGACTAAAAATTGCTCATGAAGGTCCATGTCCTCTTCCGATGTTCGGTATTTTGATGACTGTAGCCAAATTTTTCAATGGAATTCTCTAAGAATCCACACAAGGAGCTTCTTTTGGGTACTTTACCCCCTGGAATATAATTTATGAATTCCTGACATTTTGGGTTCCTAACATTTGATATATTTTAGGACCTGTAGTAGAATTCTGATGACAAATTATTTTGTAGAATGTATCGAATTAATTATAACCACATTTTGAAAAAAGGATCACAAAGACTCCTTGATGACTCGTACGGTTAAAATTAGTAAAATTGTCGAGGATAAAATAAGTATTTTTCAAAAAATAAATAAAATAAAATAAATAAATAAATGTGATAGGTGTATGTATTAACCTGCTCCTGGTGACGTATCTGTCGGTCTTCCCACTGAACACCAAACATCTTTCTTATAGAAAGCCTGATAGTCATAGAAGGCCAAATGTCTTTCTTATTGAAGATCAATTATCCTTCTCATAGAAGGCCAAAAACGTCTTCTTATAGAATGTCATATATCTTTCTAATAGAATACCAGATAAAAAAAAATACTAAGTAATACATGTACATCGTAATATTTTACCAGGCCCTTAAAGTTCCAATTAACTTGCTCCCTTAATTCTTAAAAATTTAATTCTAATAGTTTCAGTTGCTTCCGTCAGATATTAGTTGTTGGCCACTCAAACAGAACTGTTGAATAGGTGCTTGAGACCCCAGTGGGTTTTTCTACTCACTGATACTTTTGAGTTCCAATCAACTGGAGATGACACAATCATATGTAGCAGTGTTGTAGAAACACAACCACTTTTATACATATAATTGACATTTTTTAGAGGGCCTTGGACGAAATAATAAATAAACAAGGAAAAAAGAAATTAACTTCGGTCGGGCCGAACTTTTAGTACTCTCTAAAATTGGGTAGGAATTGTAAAAACTTGTAAAAAAAATATAAAAATATTAAATTATAAAATATTAAAAAAAATAAAATACGAAATTTAGAAATACCGGCAAAACGGAGGTACTGTTATGTGTGGAGTATACGAAAACGTGGACCTGCATAGACAATTTTCTGTCATAGGTTGAAGGATCCATTACGAATACGAAATGTGATACAATTCCGTTGAATAACATCGCTAAAATCAATAAAGTTCCGAATATTGGGATGTACCGTTATATGGGGGCTATACGAAGACGTGGACCTGCATAAGTAATTTTTTCATAGGTTGTCGTACCCATCAATATATTCAATTACGAAATTTGAAACGGTTCCGATGTCGCAAAAATCATCAAAATATCGAATATTGAGAGGTACCGTTATATGGAGCTATTCGAAAATGTGGACCGCAACGCTCCATTTACGAACTTAACCTGCCTACGGGCAAAATACACATGTGTGCAAAATTTAAGCGTTCTCAATTCTCAATTCGTTTGAAAGATAGCGTGATGAAAACAGATAGAGAGACAGACGGACATCGCTAAATTGACAAGGAATGATCAAGAATATATGTACTTTTTTTGGGTCTAACATGGGTATTTCGAGGAGTTACAAACGGATTGATAAAGTTAATATGCACTCCATAGTGTGGTGGAGGGTATAAAAAGCTATAGTTTTTAAAATATCATTAAGCTTTTCGACTTTGTTTTTCTGTCTCGCTTAAGATAATAGAAAAGCTTTACTAAAAAATAAAACAATAACAAAAAAACTTTAAAAATATCTACGATCAGTATTTATTACAAGTCCTATCTGGCGTGTTATCTACAAATTGAGATTTGGTTAATCGCATAAACAAATGTCATATGATGTCAAATTTGCTATCGAAGAGACGACTTTTCTACGAAGATTACTGATACGGCTAATAATTGATTAAATGAATTATAGACATATATGAAAGAAACACAAATCGAAATCAATCTAAATTTTCTGATAACCGGCCATTGTTTATGGCTAATAGTATTTTGTATTGTTGGCTAAGGGAGCCAAGTTTATAAAATGGCTATAGACCCTTTAACCACCATCATTGGCATGTTGTAATTCGGCCGTGAAACAACATGCATAGTTTTGTCGGTGTTCTCTTTGTTGGCCTAGCTGCCGTTCTCCTGGCAGCAGGACCTGCTCAAGCTGGTACTCGTAGCCTGCCGCCGTTGTTCCGTGAGTCGGGCGCCTTAGAAAATCCAAACTTTCGGTTCGATGCTCGCGCCGATGATTTGAATTATCGTCTGCCCAATAACACTCTACCCATCCACTACGACGTGGAATTGACCACCAATGTCCATGATGGTACCAAGAAATTTACGGGCAAAGTTCAAATTGATGTAACCATTGTCGAGGCCACCACCACTTTGGTCTTGCACAAACGTCAATTGAACATTCTATCGGCCAAAATTGAAAGCGCCACCTCGGCTAGTGAAGATCTGACCATTTCATATGAAGAAGAACGTGAATTTTTAACTTTGACCCGTAAAACGAATGTGAATTTCGAAAAGGATACCGAATGGAAAGTCACATTGGAATACGAAGGTGAATTGCGTACCGATAATGGTGGTTTCTATCTGTCCACGTATACCGATGCGGACGGCAATGAAAGGTGAGTAAATAATAGTTTTATTTAAAACAACTAAAAAAAACAATAAGTTTGACTGGACCAAAATTTTTAATATCCTTTAACTTTGGACATAGAAAAAATTTTTATATAAAAGTATCTGAATTCAAACGTGTTCCACTTTAAACTACAAATACCAGTAACACCGATTAGATAATGCTGTTAAATTTTTCAAATAAATACATATACGAAAACGGGAATCTCCATAAATAATTCTATACTTCAAGGACTGTTATCTAAAAAATCTTCTTAAATACCAAATTTGAAACAATTTCGTGGGTAAATGTGTCTAGGATTATCAAGAAAGTCGATTATCGGTGGGTGTCGTTGTATGTGCGCTATAGAAAAACGTGAACATAAATTTTCAATGTTCTGCCGCTGGAGCTATGAACTACAATTACCAATTTTTCGAGGAAAATGTGGCAAAAATCATCAAAATACCGAATGTGGAGGCTATACGAAAACATGGACCTATACAAACAATGTTTGGCTTCACCTTTTCAATGAATGCTGGTATTAGCGGAGATACATATATCCAAACTTTCAATTGTTTTTTAAATTCTCGACGACAGAGGGTGTAAATATCGGACAATTGTCATGGTATTTCGCAGATCATGTTGGAACGGAGTAATGTAATGATGAGAACAAAGATCTCAAAACAGGAATTTATGTTTCCCAATATCTTGTGAGATTCGTCCAACTTTACCATAAATGAGATACTCCATTGGCGTTCCCGCTCGACTTAAATATTATAATTTTTGAATGCAATTTAAATTTAGTAAAAACTATGGAGATGGAGATTGTGACCCCTTGTGAGTGAGGTACCAGAAGGGGTTTGCAGATATATATCATCTTCACAACAGAACTTGTGTTAGGAAAATGTTTGTGTGTGAAATTTGAAGAGGGTTGGATGCTCATTTGGCTTTCTATGAGCGTTTATTTTTCAAAATCCTGAATCCTAATCTCTACAATGTTAAAAACTGATTTTATATTGATAGAAATATCCCAAGTCTGAATGGAATCGTATAATTTCGAGTTTTGTGAGCTCCATGGATATTCAAAATGTTGACACTTTGTGAGGGAGGTACAAGAAGGAGTGGACAGCAGATCTTTTGATAGTAGAAGTATTGAGATGTGTAAAATTTGATGAAAATCAGATGCGTTTTACGAGCTTAATGGCTGATCCAAATTCTGACCCTTTGTGGGGGATGTACCAGAAAAAGTGAACCGATATATCCTATCTTCACAGTAGACCTGATGTTAGTCGAAATAATGGGATGTGTGAAATATGAAGAGAACCGGATGTTTATTACGGATTTTATAATCGTTTTGCTTATTAAAAACTTTGAATCTTTGTGGTGGAGGTGCCAGAAGGAATGCTCCAATCTATACCATCTTTAGAACAGGTTTTTTATATCCTACACCACATAGTGGTAAGGGTATTATGTCTTTGTGCATTTGTTTGTAACATGGAGAAGGAAGCGAGATAGACCCATAGTTACTTTTGAGGATCTCCATAGAATCACATTCTGAGTTGATTTATGCATGTCAGTCCGTCTGTACATATATCCTTGTGAATAAAATGCAGGTCGCATTTATTATCCGATTGAGATGAAATTTTCCAAACAACATTTGTTTGGCCCAAGGACGAATCCTATTGAAATTGGAGACAATCGGTAAAAATTTAGATATAGCTCCCATATATATCTTCGTCCGACTTGCCTTTTATTGTGCACCAAACGTTTAATATTAGCCCGAAATGCATGGAATTTTGCACATACAACCAAATTAGGCCTTAAAATAAGTATGCCAAATTTGATCGAAATCGGTTCAGATATATCTATAGCTCCCATATATATTGTTCATCCGATTTGTTATTTTTGTCCTCCACAGCCGTAATATGCACTCTGTAACAACAATATTTGGGGAAATATATCAAATGCAGCTCAGAAATACCTTTGCTAAATTTTATCGAGATCGGTTCAGATTTGGATATAGCTCACATATGTAACTTCGTCCGATTTACCTTTCATTGTGCATCAAACGTCTAATATTTGCACAAATGGTAGTAGTATGTCAAATTTGATGAAGATAGGTTCAGATATAGCTATAGCTCCCATATACATTGTTCATCCCATTTGCTGTATTTTTTACCCACAGCCGTAATATGCACTCCATAACAACGATATTCAGGGAAATATATCAAATACAGCTCAGAAATATCTTTGTCAAATTTTATCAAGATCTGTTCAGATTTGGATATAGCTTCCATATATATCTTTATCGGATTTTAAATTAATTGTGTACCAAATGGGCAATACAAGTCCGAATTTAAGAGATACAAATGCTTCGGCATATTTAGTCCATTGAACTTTAAATTATAATTATAATCCTAGCGTGTATGATTGAATTCTCCCATAAAAACTTTTAATTGTTATGCCGAGCTCTAGCAAAGTGGTGTAGGGTATCATAAAGTCGGCCCCGCCCGACTTTAGGACTTTCTTTACTGGTTGTTTATAAAAATATTGAGATGTGTCAAGTCTGAATGGAATCGGATGTTAATTTCGCGTTTTATTCAAATTTTTGACCCTTTAGGGCCATTTTGACCAGACAGACATACGGATCATCGCTAGATCGACTCCAAATGTCGTGAAATGGATTTGGATCTAGGGTCTGAAAACATTATTTCGATAAGGCACGTTTTGGCCGGTTCTAGCCATTTGGCAGAGAGTATAAATATGGTAAACAGAACTTTGAATTTTTGATGTTTGTTTGTAAGATGTTTGACAGAGAAGCAAAACACGAAACGCGCGTAAGCTGTTTAATCAGAGTTGCCAAGAAGGTACTCGTAATTGTAAAAAATAGCTCTTTAAAAGGAGTGGACTGATATTTCCCAACTCCAAACTCAATCTAAGTTTAACAATAATAATAATACGATGTACCAAGTTTGGACGAAATCGGAATCACTCCCTTCGAAAGTTATCTTGGACACCAGCACAAGCGGTAAATCGACTTTAAAATTCCTGAAACTGATTTCCTCCAAATAGACCAAAAGTACAAAACCTTTTCGAAGAGGAAGGTTTGGGCATATAAAATGCAGCCATTTGTTTGATTTTCCAACGAGAACAACATATTGTAAATCGCTAACATTCAAGCATAAACGTGTTACTTATTCATTGCAATTTTGGCTTGCTTTCAACCCAATTTTTGCGTTCATTATCCAAAAATAACTACTTACAGCAATTTATAAGAAATCTTATTCAAATAATAAAGAAAATTTATTTTATTATTATTTTTGTAATTTTCTTTTCGACAGATATTTGGCCATTACCCAGTTCGAGAGTACCGATGCCCGTCATGCTTTCCCCTGCTATGATGAACCCAACAAGCGTGCCACCTTCACCATCACCATCAATCACAGCCCCACATACACGGCCATCTCCAATATGCCTGTTGATACATCTAAAACCATGTAAGTTTTTATCATTTCCTTAGAGATACTCCATAAAGCCACATTACTCTCAACTACTCTCATCCATGTTATTTTGCCTCTCCATAGTTCCGGCAAAACCGTGTTTCAAAAAACCGTCAACATGCCCACCTATTTGTTGGCCTTCATTGTGTCCGATTTCGTTTATACCGAAGGTGTTTTGAACGACACTCCACAACGTATCTATTCTCGTCCCGGTACTAAGAATGAACAGGAATGGGCCTTGGTTTCGGGTATGCTGATTTTGGAACGCTTGGCCGAATACTATAATGTTGACTTTGCATTGCCGAAAATCGATCAGGCTGCCATACCTGACTTCGCTGCTGGAGCCATGGAAAACTGGGGCTTGGCGACATATCGTGAAGAGTACATGCTGTACAACAAGGACACCTCAACGGTTACCACACAAACCAACATTGCCAGCATCATTGCCCATGAATATTGTCATCAATGGTTTGGTAATTATGTTGCCGTTCACTGGTGGACATATTTGTGGTTGAAGGAAGGTTTTGCTACACTCTTTTCCTATAAGGCTGTGGATGCTGTAAGTGGACTAAAACTAAAAGAATTTGGCAGGTGATATTTATTGATTATGGTTGTTTTTATTTCTTCTCTGTTTAGGCCTATCCTGAATGGGGCGTTTGGCAACAATTCCAAACCGATGATTACCAATCGGCCTTGACCAATGATGCTAGTGACTATCCCCGTCCTATGACCCATTACGTCCAAAAGCCTTCAGAAATTGCCATGTCGTATGGCACGGTTACTTATGCCAAGGCCGGTTCCGTATTGAACATGTGGAATCATGCATTGACCGATAAAGTTTTCCAAAGGGGTCTACACAACTATTTGGATGCTAAGTAAGTACAGATCGAGTTCGAGGGTCAAATGTATTGAGCCAACAATTTTAATGAGGCAGCAAGTGCACGCTACTTTGTCATCAGTTCGACCTTAAAATATTAGATTCGTTGCACCAGCTCATTTTAGTACTCAAAATGCACAAAGTATTTCAACGTATTTTCATACTACAAAATTAGTCACCCCCATATGTTAATCCTAGAAACCAACACTGACCTCAATATAATATTTTAGGATTCAAGCTCTATCCATTCAAGGAACGGCAAATTTAGCAACATTTAGTACTTTTCACACAATCATAGTGTCCATTTCCAAATTCACTTTCTTCTCTCAAAACTAGTGGCATCCATACCAAATTTCAGGATTCCAGCTCTGCCCATGCAACCAATACCAAATTCAATATTAGTTAGTACTTTTCGAATAATTATATGATGAATTTTCAAATCAATCTTCACATCACAACCTCAAATGCCAACAGTGAACATAACATCAAATTTTAGGATTTATGTTCTGTAGTTTCCCCCATTGCAGAATTTAGTAGCATTTAATTCACTCATAGTACACATTTCCAACACCAGTTCTATCCCTCAACTACAGACACCAACAGTGACATCTATAACAAATTTAAGGATACAAATTATATTCCTTTACCCAATACCAAATTGAGTACTATTTGGTCATTTTCGTACAAATACCTAAATTCCAGATAGCAACAGAGACCTCGAAGTCAAATTTGGGGATTCCTTCAGCCAATATCAAACTTAGTACCACTTAGTATTTTTCGTACAAATATGGGACGCATTTTCAAACCACAAATCTTAAATTTTCAGAATTTTATCTCTATCCCTTCACCCAATACCAAATATAGTACTTTTCGTACAATTATAGTACACATTCCCGAAACCACTTCCATATGTACAGGCTACACATGAACAGCGACACTTATATCAAATTTCAGATCTGAAAATTCATCAATTCAGATCAAATTGTACCAAATATAGTACTATTTAGTACTTATCGTACACCCATTTCCCAAACCACCTCTTTATAAACCACAATTATGGCTCGCATTTTCAAAACAATATCCATATCTCAACCTCAGATACCAAGTGTGAACTCAACATAAATTTTTGGGATTTCCGTTTCCCCATAGCCGAATTAAGTACCATTTAGTATAATAAAAGTACGATTTTCTAAAACCAGCTCATTTCCACTACATATAACATCAGTGACATCCATATAAAATTCAGGATTCAAAATCTATTCTTTCACTCAATACTAAATTTAGTACCTCTGGTACTTTTCGTACAATTATAGTACATATTCTTAAAACCACCTCTTTATCTCAAATTCATATACCAATAGAGATCTCAAAATGAAATATGAAGATTCCGGTCCCATCTCAAATTTACCCATTACCAAATAAAGTACAATTTAGTACTTTTTGTACAAATATAGGAGATGTTTCCAAACGACTGCCAAATCTCAAACACATATACAATCAGTAATATAAAAACCAAATTTTGAAAAATTATCTCTATCTCTTCGTCAAATACCAAATATAGTACCATTCAGTACACTTCCTACAATTTTAGTACACATTCCCGAAATTACCTCCATATGTCTGGAGTACTCATGAACAGCGACTCTAATATCAAATATCTGATTTTGAACACTATTTCTTCACCCAAAACCAAATTGTACTAAATATATAGTACTATTTAATACTTTTCGTACACTTGTAGTACCAATTTCCGAAAGCACATATTTTTCACAAACCAACCGCCAACAGGGACCCCAATGCAAAATTTCAAATTTCCTGTTTCATACGTTCTCCATAAACCAAACTGCTCCAAATTTAGTACCATATTTGGTAGAGTCCGCACATTAAGTACACATTTCCAGAACTACTTTTATATATCACACTTACTTTCCGTTTTTGATTCTTATTTCCGTTTTTGATTCAAGTTTGTAGCTCCATCCGTTCCCATAATACCAAATGTAAACATTTTAGAAATTTAGTGCCATTTTGAGAACTTTTCGTAATTTTAAATTTCGAATTTCCAAAAACTTTTTGGTACATATATCTTGCACTCCATCAATGACTCTCATTCCAAATTACAGAATTTTAGTTCATTCATTTTTGCCCAATACAAAGTATTAGGTTTTTGTATATTTTAGTACTTTTCGTAATACTTTAGTAAGAATTTCCAAAAATCCTTTGGCACATCTATCATATACTTCATCAGTGATTCTCATTCCAAACTTAGTACTTTTCGTACCCTTTTGAGAACGAATTTCTAGATTTAGAAATTTCTTGATTCTAGCTTCAGCCGTTTAGCCTATTCCGGCGTTTTGAAAGTTTATATTTTAAAGTAAAATAAAGAAGCAGGGCAAATTCCCAATTTTGATATTTTTTTTTCGAAATTTTTGGATTAATGTTCCATGGATTAATGTTCCATATACAATGTCTTTGACTATACTAGTATTAAAAAAACTAGATTATTTTGGTTGAGATTTCCATATGTGTACCCACAGGGGCCTTTTTTGTCTCATTTTCAATAATAACTCTCTTAAACGGAATTATAGCAATATAAAATATCGTAGAATTCTACTATAGGTTTCAATATAGGGTAAGTGCGCCTAAGTTCGCCTAGTAGTCGGCAGTTTTGAAATTTAAACTTAAATAACTAAAAATGGAATTGACCAAATAATGAAATAATTGCAAAACAACGTCAACAGTGTTCTCTGCTCTCTTTCTGTAAAAAACAATGAGCTCCGATCATTTCTTACGAGAGAATAACTGTTTTCGTCAGTGAGTGTCTTCCAACACGTGCGATAGCACTTCTTTTGTAAAGAAAAATTTAGTGGTGGCGTCAGCTTAATAATCGATTTAAGTAAATTAAATTTAATACTTTTGGAATCAGAAATATTTTATAATAGTAAATAACAGTCTAAAGATCATTTTATATCTTAAAAACATACAAATCAAGCATTTTTCTGTTATATTATTTAATGCCGACATTAGGAACAGAAAAAAAGAGATTTTCTAGTAGTCGGCAGGGGTTCCCGATTACTAGAAAAATATCATTTTTGACCTATTTCACCAAAACTTGAGAAAAGTAATAAAAAATAATCCAAAAACAGGCAGTTGCTTTTATTTGTCCTTTTGGACCAACTTTTCTAAATTAAGTACGTTTTTTTTTAATCAGCTATTTGACGTTTTAGATAGCGGTGGCATTTAAAAAAAAATTCACAAATTCCAAATATAAAAAAGGTACTTTTTTATTTAATCTCATTTTTATTTTAATTGAAAATCCATAATATTCTTTATTTTCTACCTATATCTGGTTTAGAATGATAATTAAATAAAACGCTATTTAAATACGGAATTAGTTAATTAAACTGTGAATTAGTATTACAGCATTGTTTTATACTATTTGAAATAAAAAAAAATTACAAAATAATATTTTTTTTTAATGAAATAGCATATGCTGACTACTGGCAAATAGACATGCCGAGCATTGGAAAAACTACAAAAAACTACTATTAAAGTAAAATTGCAAATTTTGCCAATTTAATAAAAACAAATTCAATTGTTGTTTATTATTTCGAAAACTAAAAAAAATATGGAATCTGAACAACTTTATTTTTCTGCAATTGAAAGATTTCACTCAGAATGTCGAAAGATTGAAATATTGAAAAGCCTAAAACTGCCGACTACTGGCACACTTACCCTACATCAAAAGTTTACATCTAACCTAAACGTCAACTGTTGTTGAATTTCCCACGAATAAAAATAAAGTATCCTTTAGCGTAGATCCAAAATTTCTAAAATGTCCCCTATAGGCTTTAAGTTTTTCCTGGTCCATTTCATTTGTGGTTCTACATCTTTCCCTTCCTCTCTCTCTCTTTCTCTCCCTCTATCTCTCACTCCATTATCGCATTACTAATATCTAACTTTTCGATTATCTATCTATTTTATAGCCAATATAGCAGCGCTGTGGAAGAACAACTTTTCTTGGCCATCCAAACTGCTGCCAAAGAAGAAAACTATGAGATTCCAGCTAAAATTGAGGATATGTTGGGCTCGTGGTCGCGTCAGGGTGGTTATCCCTTGTTGACGGTTACCCGCAACTATAACAACGGTTCATTTACCGTTACTCAAAGTTCCTTCCATAATAACAAGAACACTGTAACGCAGAAATCCTGGTACATCCCCTTCAACTATGCCCACCAATCGAATCCCGATTTCCGTGACACCGAAGCCAGCCACTATTTGCTCAATGTCCCAAGTGTGAGAGTCGATGCCAAATTGGACAAGGAAGATTGGCTTATTTTGAACAAACAATCCACCGGCTATTATCGCATCAATTACGACGAAGAAAATTGGAAACTCATTATTGATGGCCTAATTAAGAGCCCCTACAAAATCCATCCACGCAATCGTGCCCAATTGATGCACGATGCATATCGTTTCAGTGCCTCCAATCGTTTGGCTCATTCCGTTCTCTTGGACATGATGACCTATTTGCCGAAGGAAGATCAGTATGCACCCTGGTCCACGGCCAATGGCATTATCAATGTCTACAATCGCTACTTGAGTGGTGATGCGAAATACTATGATTTCCAAATGTTTGTGGCCGAAATCGTCACTCCCATCTATGAAAAATTGGGCATCAATGATGTTCCCGGCGAACACCACTACCAGAAATATACCCGCAATGCTGTCATCAATATGGCCTGTTTGGCTGGCATCCAGAGCTGTTTGACCGAGACCAAAAACAAACTGAAGGCTTTGGTACAGCACGGTACTCCCATTGAAGCCAATGTACAGAGCCAAATCTACTGCAATGGCCTGAAACAATCCGGCGATGATGTTTTCCAATATGTTTTCAACCAGCTCATGGACTCCACTGATCAAGCATTCCGTCGCGTGCTCATCTCCTCTCTGGGTTGTTCACAGAACGAAAAACAATTGAAATCCTATTTGGAAAGTTCCATTGACAAGGACAACAAATTGCGCAATCAGGAACGCATTACCATTCTCAGTCCCGTCTATTCGCGTGGCTCCGTTGGTCTGATGGCCACCATTGATTTCCTCGATGAACACTGGGATGAATATGGCAATTTGAACACTGGTTTCGGTGGTACCAATCCGTTGAATGATGCCTTGGGAGGTATGTCTTTGTATGTCGTCAACACTGAACAGGAAAAAAGACTTTTGGCTTTGGTTGACAAGGTCAAGAGCAGCGAACATGTCTCCAGCTCATTGGAGGCCTCCGTCAAGTATAACATTCAGTCCAACTTCGACTGGTTGAAGAGTAATCGTGATCCGTTGATTAATTGGTTCCAGTCGTTCAACATCAAGAGTGGTGCCAGCGCTGTCATCAGCAGCTCCAGCATGGCCATCAGTACCCTTTTGCTTTTGGTCATTTCTCGGCTGTTTTAAAAAGACCTATTTTAGATAGTTAGCACGTAATATAAATTAAAAACAAAAAAATTTGTACATAAATATTTATTTTTTTTTGTTAAAAAATAATAAAAGTACTGATTTTTTTAGTAGTAAAAAAATATATATTTTTAAAATAATTTTTGTTATTTGTTTTATTGGGAGTTGTTGAATTGTTTTATAACTTCAGTGACTGCCAAATAAATCATATGTGAATGTTTATTGCCAGAAAGTAATCGCCTTGTCGGGCGGTAATAAATTATTGCTAACTGTTTTGTTGTTGCAAAATGTGATTAATTTTGAGATATCACCCAATCTTCTGATTTATTTTATAGAGGGCTTATATTGAAGCCAATTGAAGTTAGGGTCGTATATTAAGAGACTTTTTATTTCTTAAATATAACTATTTTCTGTCATTACGTTGTTAATAATTTTTAATTTAAAGGAAACGTCATCATGTACAGGGTTGCCCATATTCAACGGACCCATCTGGCAACGCCATAACTTTAGACAGAGATGTCACATCGCTTAATGACATACCGCGTTTGAAGCGTCAGTCCAAGCAGATTTTTATCATGAACCATTACACGCCACGCGAGCGCTCTGAAATAGTTGAAATTTACATTCAACAGAAGAAGTCAATTGTGAAAACTCAAAGTGCTTTTAAAACATTAAAAAATGTGAGAAGTGCGCCTTCTAAGAACACCATTAAGCGTTTATACGAAAAATGTTCGACTGGTAAGGCTCTTTCTAATCCGAAGAGGCCATATAAAAGTCGACCAAGGCGATCGACCGAGAATATCGCTGCCGTACGAGCCAGTGTTGAGAGGTCCCCAAGAACATCCCAAAAACGGGGTTCTCAGCAGTTGGGCACGGCTCGGTCCACTTTACAACGGATTATTCCCATTGATTTGCATTTATTCCTGTACAAAATTCAATTGACGCAAAGAATGTTGCCTGCGGACAAGCCTCGTCGATTGGAATGGGCCCAAAGAGTCATCGAAATGGCCGAAGATGACGAGCAATTTTGGAACAAAATTATCATGTCCGATGAAGCCCATTTCACATTGAATGGGACCGTAAATAAGCAAAATTGCCGTTCTTACGCCACTGAAAATCCTCAGGAGATTCAAGAAGTGCCTCTTCATGACGAAAAAGCCACAGTTTGGTGCGGCGTTAGTGCGAAAACGGTCATTGGGCCGTTTTTCTTCCAAAATGAAAATGACCATGCAGTTACCATCAATCAGGAGCGTTATCGCGACATGATGACCAATTTTGTGATGCCAATTATTTGTCGAAAGCGTATGAGGCAGTTCTGGTTTCAACAAGACCGCAAACAAGTCGCATAAAAATCGATTTTCTGAAGAATTTGTTTCCGGGCCGTTTGATGTCGAAAAGTGGTGATTTGGACTGGCCACCGCGTTCGCCCGATTTGACTTCTTTTTGTAGGGATATTTGAAGTCAAAGGTTTATGTTAACAAGCCAAGGACCGTAGAAGATCTCAAGGACAACATTCGTGAAGAAATAGGCGCTATTCCGGCCGAAATGTTGGCAAAAACGATGGAAAATGCAGCAAAAAGAGCACAATACGTCATCAACGCCAGAGGCGGCCATTTGAGAGATATCATATTCAAAAATTGATGTAAACAAATCTACTTGGAACAAATTAAATGATTAACATTGCCAACCGCCAAATTTTTATTTTTTTCTTTGATTAAAAACTTCTAACTTCAAATACCAAATTTGAAACAATCAAAATACCGAATATAGGGAGGTACCGTTGTGTGGGGGCTATATGAACACGTGGACCTACATGGCCCATTTACGAACATAACCTGCCTACTGGAAAAATAAAAATTTGCAAAAGAACAAAAATGTGCAAAATTTTAGCTTTCTATCTCAATTTGTTCGTGATTACAACAGACAGACAGACGGACATGGCTAAATCGACTTAGAATTTTACGCTTATCAAGAATATATATAAACTTTGTTGGGTCTGACATGAGTATTTCGAGGAGTTACAAACGGAATGACAAAGTTAATATACCCTCCATAGTATGGTGGAGGGTATAAAAAGCACCTAAATATATGCTTTAGATCAAACTCGCTCGAATTCGAGTAGAGTAAGAGTAAAACTGGCTTGAATTGGGTGTACAAACGAATTGAGATAGAAGTTAAAAATGTTGCTCACATTTATATTTTGACAGTAGGCAGATTATGTTCGTAAATGGTCCATGCCTGTTGTCCACGTTTTAGTATATCCACCACTAAATGGTATCCCTAAATAATCGATATTGTATGATTTTAGAGGCATTATAGACTGGGTACTATAACCTACGACGGAAAGTTATCTATGCAGGTCCACGTCTTTGTATAGCCCCCCATATAACGATACCTTCCGATATTTCATATTTTGATATATATATATTTTTATATATTTATATATTTTTGAAATTTTTGGAAGTTCCTTCCAAATGGCTCGGTCGAACTTAACTGCGCCTTTACTCTTAGAACAAACCCTTGCTCAATTTTGAGCGTTTCGTGAAGTATTTGTTTCGTAAGCTTGCTCTAACAGAATGGAGGACTGGAGACACGTAATGGTATCGATGAAGCAACAACTACAAGGTGACGGCATTATCGATACTGAACGTCTCCCTGGAGTTAATGTTTATACCCTACAACACATTATTATATTATAAGTTTAATTGAGACAACAATTGTGTAACACTTCGAAATATTGGTCCCCACATAGGAATCTATATATGGATCTTCCTATCTCACCGAGCTGAGTCGATCTAACTATGTGCAGGGTGTGATAAAAAACTGAAACAACGTCAAAGGACAGTTAATTTTTTTTGGTAGATATTTTTTTAAATTTTATTGAATGAATGCAAAAAAAATCGGAAATAGCATCAAATTTAAGAATAAGTTTAGATTTATTCGGTCACCTTTTACACGAATTATGGCCTTCAATGAATGGAACCGTCACACGCTGCCCGATTGTTGCTCTGAGGTATTTTGGCTCATTCCCGGCGAAGCACTTGCTTGAGGTGATCGAAACTTTGGTATTTTTTAGTGCCAAACTTGCTTTCAAAAATACCCCAGACACAATAGTCCAAGGGTTTGGTGTCCGGATTTTGTAACCATTCTTAGGTGGCGAGTGCTGAGTGCGATAGGGCTGAGTCCTTTTTGAATGTCCAAGGTCTGCGGCTAAAATAGTCCAAGGGACACAATAGTCCAAGGGATTGGTGTCCGGATTTTGTAACCATTCTTAGGTGGCGAGTGCTGAGTGCGATAGGGCTGAGTCCTTTTTTAATGTCCAAGGTCTGCGGCTAAAATATTTGCGTGCCCAAGACTTTTATACACCCTCCAGAATTTTTTGTGATAATATTCGGCATTTATTCTGATGCCACTGTGATATTAAAACCAGCGGAGAGAGACTGCTGGCGACCCAACCCATCATCATGGCCGGCGCTTAAGTTCTGGTAGCCAACCGAAGGTGCACATTTTCAGCTGACCTCATTTTGTTTGTTTTCAAACTGCTGGACAACTAATAAAGCAACGAGAAAACCAAGTTCGGCAGTTCACCACTTTCGGCCAAGCGAAGCAACTTTTTAAGTTGCTATGTTGTAAGTTCTTGCGCTTTTTGGAATTTCAATGGCTTTAGCTCGAGCTCATTTTTCAATATTTGCCGAATGGAATATTGCGATATGATCAGCTCACAAGCCATGTGTGGCCATTGCGACGCGGGTATCGATCAAGTCGCTTCTTTACTTTTCGAACCATTTCTGCTGATGTAGCTGTTTTCTTCCCTCCACTTCCTTGACGTCGGGCTACGCTACAAGTATCACGGTAACGAGCGATGGTACGAAACACAAAAGATTTATTCACATTTAAATGCTGGAGTGCTCTAACGATAGCCACTTGTGGTTTTCCGGCCAAATATAAAGAAATCAAACTATCACGCTTGAATTCCATCACGAATAACTTTTTTTTCTGGAAGATTCTCACCAAAATTTTGAGCTGTCACTTGAATAATTTTAACAGCTGTCTGACGAGTGGCTTAGAAATGACAGCAGTCTGAAGTTGGTTGAGGTTTGTTCATCTCTCCCTGTATATTTAGCTGTAAAATTTTCAACAAATTTTGTGAATTTATTTCGAATTCACAGCAACGTGGCGGAGTGCGCAAATAAGGGTAACATCTGGGCAGGGTTCCATGACATTATTTCAAGAACGAAAACTTCCTAAATGGATGTGGATATAAAGTCACATGGTGGGCCCGGCACGACTATAGCTTTTGTTTACGTGTTTACATTTCCTTTTAATGGGTTATGCAGCTCAAGCACTTCCCAACATATTGTTGGGGAGCATTCTTGGGTTAACAGCAGCATCTTCGAGGCCCTCAAATATAATGGCCTCTTGATATTGGGTGGTATTTTGAGAACATCGCTTGCAAAACACAGGGGAAATTTCGACATATTACACCTAAGATAACATTGTTTTCTCGCTAAAAATATCTCCGATCAACATTTATTGCAGACGGTTATCTAACAACCACTCAGATTTCTTAATCGAATAAAAGAGACGTTAGTTATATTAGTGCTATTGGAATATTAGTGCTATTGGACTGTTTGCGGGCAATAAAGTTAATTATATCCATATCTGAGAATTTCAATTGGATTTTTTTCCAAAACCGGGCTACGGTTTATGGCCAATAGTTTATTGGTAAACAATAAAGAGTGCCGAGATTATAAAATGGCCACAAGTCTGGGGCCACCATCAATGGCATGTTGCAATTTGGCCGTTAAACAACATGCATAGTTTTGTCGGTTTTCCGTTCGTTGTCCTAGCTGCCTTGCTGCTGGCAGCAGGACCTGCCCGCGGTGGTCTGCCACCAATGTACCGTGAATCGGGTAGTTTGGAAATGCCAAACGATAGTGATAGTGATACTCGTGCGGATGTTTTGAATTATCGTTTGCCCAATAACACCCTGCCCCTGCATTACGACGTCGAATTGACCACCAATGTGCATAGTGGTGACAAGAAATTCACGGGTGTGGTTAAAATTGATGTAACCATTGTTGAGGCCACCACCACTTTGGTTTTGCATCATCGACAATTGACCATCAAATCGGCCAAGATCCAAAGTTCAAGCTCAGCGGTTAGCGAGGAATTGGATTTTGAGTATGAACTTCAACGTGAATTCCTAACTTTGTCGCGTAAGACTCCCGAGAATTTCCCCAAGGATAGTAAATGGACAGTGACAGTGGAATATGAAGGTCAATTACGTACCGATATGGGTGGTTTCTACCTGTCGACATACACTGATGCCGATGGCAATGAGAGGTGAGTAAAGTGACTGAAAATTAGAAGTTTGTGTTGGGGGTATAATAAGATTGATTGGGTCAAAAATTATGTAACACCTTCAAATATTGGTCCCCGACATAGGAAGCTATATATGCATCATCCTATTTCGACGAGCTGAGTCGATCTAACTATGTATGTCCGTCCGTCCGTCGATTCTCACGGAATTAAAAATAGAGGTATGGATAGAGTCAAAATAGAAACTTGTTATTTTTGGAGATGATCGCAAAATATGTAGCGGTTGAAATGGACCAAACCAAAAAAATTTCCTGAATTTTCTTTAATGACCTCAATTATTAACCAATTGACGCGGAATTTAGCATAAAGTTAGACTTAAGGGCTAGGAAGAAGCCTTTGTCAATTATTAACCAATTGACGCGGAATTTAGCATAAAGTTAGAGTTAAGGGCTGGGAAGAAGCCTTTGTCAATTATTAACCAATTGACGCGGAATTTTGTATAAAGTTAGAGTTAAGGGCTAGGAAGAAGCCTTTGTACGGGCGTCGGACAATATTTAGCGGGTAATATAAGTATATATCTTTTGTCGAAAATGCTAAACCGCGATTATTTTTAATGCCCGCAAAATCACAAATACATCAAAAGATCACTTCCGACTATTGCAGTGATGCTGATAGGCAAGATATCGGATATAAAGGAAAATAGGTACAATATATATGTAAAACAAATGAATGTTAGTTATTTCGCTTATAAGTCAAGACCTGCTGGACTAATTTTCATTTCAATTCAGAATGACCTCTAGCCAAAAAAGATAAAATATATGAAAATCACCTAAAAATATGACAATAAAAAAGTGAATATTTTTTGTTATGTTTTTTTTTTTTTTTTTCAATTTTTGTCATATTTGTGTATCGCAGGCGGATTTTTAAATTTGAATTACAATTTTGACGAATAAAAACCAATAGATTGTACCTATAGACTTTCCCAAAAAATTAAGTATTAACGAAGATTTTGTTAAATTCGCAGGAGAGAGAGTTATAAAATATTTTGGGAAATATTTTCGCGGTATTTTGGCAATAGTGACATGGGTATGTAATGGAAATAGAGATTTATTTTCACTAGTGACTTCTAGAGGAATTTGAAAACGAACAACCTTGGCTTTGACACTAACCCTCTATAAAAATGTTTGCGGTATAATTTTGCATAAACTCCCGCAAGCTGTAAGTTCGGCCGGGCTGAACTTTGAATACCCTTTGGAATGAACTGGGCCATTTTCAAAAAAATAAAATCCATTACAAAATTCTGTTAAAATCTTAAAAATACCGAATGTAGCTGTTATATTTGGTTCTATACGACGACGTGGACCTGCATAGGCAACTTCTGTCATTAGCCATTATAATATTTAAATGCGAAACTTGAAAAAAAATCTGTGAATAATGTAGCTAAAATCATCTAAATACCGAATATAGGAAGGAGCCATGGGGGCTATAACAAAACGTGGACCTGCACAGACACTTTTCTGTCATAGGCTGTAGTATCCATTACGAACTTCAAATACCAAAGAGGAATTTAAAAAAGAATAACCTTGGCTTTGACACTAACCCTCTATAAAAATGTTTGCGGGATAATTTTTCATAAACTCCCGCAAGTTGTAAGTTCGGCCGGGCTGAATTTGAATACCCTTTGAAATGAACTGGGCAATTTTCAAAAAAATAAAATCCATTACAATCATTCTGTTAAAATCTTAAAAATACCGAATGTAGCTGTTATATTTGGTTCTATACGACGACGTGGACCTGCATAGGCAACTTCTGTCATTAGCCATTATAATATTTAAATGCGAAACTTGAAAAAAAAAAATCGGTGAATAATGTAGCTAAAATCATCTAAATACCGAATATAGGAAGGAACCATGGGGGCTATAACAAAACGTGGACCTCCACAGAAACTTTTCTGTCATAGGCTGTAGTATCAATTACGAACTTCAAATACCAAATTTTAAACAATTCCAGTGAATAATGTCGCTAAAATCATCAAAATACCGAATATTGGGAGGTACCGTAATATTGCGGCTGTACAGAAACGTGGACCTATGCATACAGTGTTAAGCCACTGGAGCTAGAACCTATTATGAGCAACAAATACCAATTTTTAGACAAATCCCTGGAAAAATGTTTCAAAAATCATAAAAATACCGAATATCGGCCACTGGAGCTAGAACCTATTACGAGCAACAAATACCAATTTTTAGACAAATTCGAGGAAAAATGTGGCAAAAATAACCAGAATAATAAATATCCGGAGGTAACATTATGTGGGGGCTATGCATACTACATTCCGCCACAGAAGCTAGAACCTGTCATGATCAACAAATTCCAAATTTTAGACAAATGCATATTACGTTCCGCCACAGAAGCTAGAACCTGTCATGATCAACAAATTCCAAATTTTAGACAAATCTGTGATAAAATGTGGAATATTTGAAGGTACCGTTATATGGGGGCTATACAAAAACGTAGGGGCTAGAACTCATTATGTACTACAAATACCAATTTTAGAGAAGTCCGTGAAAAAATGTGGCAAAAATCACCAACATACCGAATATCGGGAAGTACTGATATATAAGGGCTATACAAAAACGTGGACGTATACATACAATGTTTAGCCACCGGAGCCAGACCAACAAATACCAATTTTTAGGCAAATTCCTTGAAAAATGTGGCAAAAATCATCAAAATACCGAATATCGGGAGGACCACTAGACTAAAAGTTTCGCATGCATTGGTTGCTTTCCCGATGGTTCCGGTGGATTTTCCCTTCCAAATAGCCAATTCTATTGTGCCAAAAATGAGCTTCGTCACTGAATACAACTTTTCGTTAAAAAAAGTAGATTTTCGGGCATCTTCTCAAATGCAATGCGCTGTTCGTTGCTAAGACGATTTAGGGTAAAATCATAGGCCAAACTGAAGATGCTTGTCAGTTAAATAAAACACGAATTAATTTATTCATTCGATATACCCTACAACACTTTGTGTTGTAACACCTCGAAATATTGGTTTCCCACATAGGAAAGTATATATGGATCTTCCTATCTCGCCGAGCTGAGTCGATCTAACTATGTATGTCCGTCCGTCCGTCTGTCCATGTTAATTTGTAATTACTCTACAGGTCGCAAGTATGGCCCGATCTTCACGAAATTTAAAATGTAGGTGGGGTTAAGGTCAGAATAGAGCCCTATTTCTTTTGGAGATGATCGCATTATATTTAGGGGTTGAAATGGACCAAAAACTGAAAAATTTCCTGATTTTGCAGTCGCTCTACAGGCCACAATTATAGACCAATCGAAGCAAACGTCAGCATGGGGCTAGAGCTTAGGGCTGGGCAAAGAAGCCTTCAAATTTTGATGGTCATCGGGTAATATTTAGTGGGTGAAATAGGCCACAACATTTGTGTTAAATAAAACTCAAATTTTCTATTAAACCGCGAATATTTTTAACAGCGACGAAATCACAAATAGACGAACAGGTCAATTCTGACCGTAACGTAGATGCCGGTAGTAAATATGTCGGTTATATATAGCGAAATATATACAATGTGTATGTATAAAGGAAGGGGATGTTAGCTAGAATGCTTATATCTCAAGACCGATTTGGACCGATTTTGACAAATTTTGTCCAGAATGTCCTCTTGGCATAAAAGTATAAAATCTGAAAAAATCGCAGAAAAATATGCCAATAATGATGTTAATATAAATTTTGATTTATTTTGTGACATTTTTTTATTTTTTTCATTTTTTTATCGCATGCGATTTTTTCAATTTGACTTATAATATTTTGCAAAATTTTTCCACCTTACAACACAGGTTGGGGATATTATATAAGTATTGCAAAAATCGGCCGATCCTCACGAAAATTTCTACAAGGGTAAGGTTGGACTCAGAAGGGCTAGGCCTATTGTTTTCAAAGATGTCCGCAATATATTAGGGGGTTGAAATGGACCAAAAACTAATTTTTTTGCTGATTTTGCAGCCGTTATAAAGGTCACAAATAGAAACCAAAGTACACGAAATCTCGCATAAAGTTAGAATTTAGGACAGCAGGTACAATGGACCACTTATTTGGTGTGAAAAAATACCAGCATTACTCACAAGCGATATCTGTAATACGAACTTCTGGCTTTTTTATGCTGATTTCGTTGACGAATAGTCCAATATTGTTGACAAGCAAATTATATGGATGAGTCTAAATTTGAAGATGCAGAGCGGCTTCTTGCTTTTGGAGATGATCGCAAAATATTAAGGGGCTCAAATGAACCAAAAACAGGAAAAAATTCCTGATCACACAATTGAAGCCAAACGACACGCCTGTGAAGAGAGTTAAGGACAGGGAAGAATTCTAGCATTTTGGATGACCATTGGATTATATTTAGCTGTAAAATGGACTACAACAACTAACAGCCCGACGGAGTGCAGAAATATTGGCAAATGCCCCTAGTCAAAATCCTATTTTCAAAAGCGAAATCTTCCAATATGGATTTGGACATAAGGGGGCTTCTAACATATTGTAGTGTTGTAGGGTATAACATAGTCGGCCCCGCATGACTATAGCCTTTGCTTACTTGTTTTCATTTACATTTATTTATGTATTCATAGATTATTTATTTCTTTATTTATCTAGATTTTTTTATTTTATTCAGTTTCTTATTTTTGACCTTCTTCGATTTAAAAAAAAATCCTTTCTCTGATATCCTTAATAAGATTTTGAAATGTTTTTGTATATTCAACTCCACAGGTATCTGGCCACAACTCAATTTGAAAGTACCGATGCCCGTCATGGTTTTCCCTGTTACGATGAGCCCAACAAGCGTGCCACCTTCACCATTACCATTAATCACAGTCCCACATACAGTGCCATTTCCAACATGCCTGTTGATAAAGACGCCTCCTCGTAAGTTACATGAGCCTCCTCAAAATGTTTCATCTGCACACAAAAAATATCATTATTCTCTCTCTCTTTCACAGTTCGGGAAAAACGGTTTTCACGAAAACCGTTAGCATACCTCCCTATTTGATTGCCTTCATTGTCTCGGACTTTGTCTATACCGAAGGTGTTTTGAATGGGGTTCCTCAGCGTATCTATTCCCGCCCCGGTACCGAACATGAACAAGAATGGGCTTTGGTTTCGGGTATGCTGATTTTGGAACGTTTGGCTGAGTATTATAACGTTAAATATATGCTACCCAAAACGGATCAGGCTGCCATACCAGATTTTTCGGCCGGTGCTATGGAAAATTGGGGCTTGGCCACATATCGTGAAGCGTACATGTTGTACGACAAGGAAAAGTCAACGGTTAACACACAGACCAATATCGCCAGCACCATTGCCCATGAGTATTGTCATTATTGGTTTGGTGACTATGTCGCCATTGAATGGTGGACTTATTTGTGGTTGAAGGAAAGTTTCGCCACCCTCTTCGAATACAAGGCTACAGATGCTGTAAGTGGGATATATTTATATATATTTTTTTAGAGTTTTTGTCAATGTTGATGTTTATTTTTGTTTTAGGCCTATCCAGAATGGGGTATTTGGCAACAATTCCTCACCAGCTCCTATCAATCGGCTTTGGTGAACGATGCAGGCAATTCTCCCCGCCCCATGACCCATTACGTACAAACTCCATCAGAAATTAGTCGTATTTTCGATACTGTTTCCTATAGCAAAGGTGGTTCCGTTTTGAATATGTGGAATCATGCCTTGACCGATAAAGTTTTCCAAAGGGGCTTACACAACTATTTGGATACCAAGTAAGTATAGATGATGTTAAGAGACCAAGCCAGTAACACGGTCAAAAAATATTAAGAAATATAAAATAAATTCAAAACTATAAAAAACTTCAAATTCGAAACCATGATGGACAAAATACAGGGGGAGATGAAAAAAACTGCAACGAAGTTCAGATAGCTGTCATTTTTAAGCCACTCGTCCGACAGCTGTTAAAATTATTCCAGCGACAGCTCATTATATTGTTTACAAGCGTACGAAAGCATTTTGGCAAAATTTTCCAGAAAAAAAAATTATTCGTGATGGAATTCCAGCGTGATAGTGTGATTCCTATATATTTGGCTGGAAAACCACAAGTGGCTATCGTTAGAGCACTCCAGCATTTAAATTTGTCTCGTACCATCGCTCGTTACCGTGATACTGGTAGCGTAGCCCGACGTCAAGGAAGTGGACGAAAGAACACAGCAGCACCAGCAGAATTGGTTCGGAAAGTAAAGAAGCGACTTGATCGAAATCCGCGTCGCCGTGAAAACCGAAAAATAGCTTGTGGCTGAACATATCGCAATATTCCATTCGGCAAATATTGAAAAATGAGCCATTGAAATTCCAAAAAGTGCAAGAACTTACACCGCCACTGAAAGAAAATAGACTCAAAAGAGCAAAAGAGTTACATCCCTTGGCCGAAAGTGGTGAACTGTCGAATTTTGGTTTTATCCGATGAGAAAACATTCGTTGTCCAGCAGTTTGTAAACGAACAAAATGATCGTGTTTACTTGCCAAAGAGGTCAGCTGAAAATGTGCACCTTCGGTTGGCCACCAGAACTCAAGCGCCACCCATGATGATAGTGTGGGCCGCCATAACAGCCGATGATCGTTCTCCGCTCATATTAATCGACCGTGGCATCAGAATAAATGCCGAATATTATCGCGAAAATATTCTAGAGGGTGTATTAAAGGATTGCGCTCGCAAAATTTTTGGCCGCAGACCTTCGACATTCCAACAGGAAATGAGGTTCCTCGCTTCATTTCCAGCGCACTATGGTCAGCAAAGTCTTCGGATACCAATCCTTTGGACTATTGTGTCAGGAGTACTTTGGAAAGCATAGTTGGCATTAAAAAATACCAAAGTGTCGATCACCTTAAGCAAGCGTTTCGCCGGGAATGGGCCAAAATACCGTAGAGCAACATTCGGGCAGCGTGTGACGGTTTCATTGGCCGTTTAAAGGCAATAATTAGTGTCAAAGGTGACTAATTCGAACAAATCTAAACTTATTCTAAAATGTGATGCTATTTCCGACATTTTTCGCCTTCATTCTATAAAATTTTAAAAATTATGGCATTTGACTTTGTTGCAGTTTTTTATCTCACCCTGGCAGCAGCAGGATTTACACTCGCAATTTCTGTGTCACATTTTTTGGTCTCACGAGCCCTAATGGCTTCATTGTAATCCCTTCATAAAAGTTATCTCGGATTTGTTGTTGCAAAATGGCTTAATCCCTTTATTGTCGTTTTTATAAAAATAACGTTAATTTATTAGTGGAGAATGATGGTAATGTTTATCAAGGGGTAAGGCAGGGAATACCTAGATTTCGGAAAGAGCCACCAATCCTCATTTTATAAACATTTACATCTTTCTCCACTTGTATGCTTCTACGTTCTACCTGAACGAAGTAGCATGACCATATAAGTTGGTTTTGTCTGTAACAACACATAAATGCGGCTGTAAAATTTGTAAATAACTTCTGGGGAGAATAAGTGCGGTTGTAAGATTTAGAAGATTTTCCAAAAGAATTTTAGTTTTATTTAATTTTTTTGGTTCCTCTTCTATTGAGCTTACGATCTCGTCACTTGGGTAAAAAATTTTTTTTTGTCATAGAAGTTATTTTGAAAATAACTTCTGAGGAGAATATCCCAGGCAAAAAACAAGGGAACTGATGAGGATTGGTTTGGTTGACTCGGATTTCGAAATTTTCGACGGCTATTTACAGCTTGTTTATTTTTAATTTCTATATTTTTAAAATAAAATTCTAACGTATCTTACAAAAGGCATGTATTAAATTATCTTCCCCCTCTCTCTACCCCCACCCCTTTCCTATCTCTTATAGCCAATATAGCAGCGCTGTTGAGGAAAAACTATTCTTGGGCATTCAAAATGCTGCCAAGGAATTAAACTATCCCATTCCCGCAACTATCTTGGACATGATGAGCTCTTGGACTCGGCAAGGTGGTTACCCTTTGTTGACGGTGACCCGGAACTATGAAGATGGTTCGTTCACCGTTAGCCAGCAATCTTTCCACAATGACGAGAAAACTGTAACGCAGAAATCCTGGTACATTCCCTTCAATTATGCCCACAAATCGAAACCCGATTTCCGTGACACCGAAGCCAGCCACTATTTGCTCAATGTGTCAAGTGTGAGAGTCGATGCCAAGTTGGGCAAGGAAGATTGGCTTATTTTGAATAAACAATCCACCGGCTATTATCGCATTAACTATGACGAAGAAAATTGGAAACTCATTATTGAGGGCCTGAACAACAGTCCCTTCAAGATCCATCCACACAATCGTGCCCAGTTGATGCACGATGCTTATCGATTCAGTATCTCCAATCGTTTGCCTCATTCCATTCTTTTGGACATGTTTACCTATTTGCCCCAGGAAGATCAGTATGCACCCTGGACCACGGTCAATGGCATTATCAATGTCTACAATCGCTATTTGAACGGTGATGAGAAATACAGCGATTTTCAGAACTTTGTGGCCGAAATTGCCACGCCCATATACGAAAAGTTGGGTGTCAATGACAATCCCGGCGAACAACATTACCAGAAAAATACCCGCAATGTTGCCATCAACTTGGCCTGCCTGGCTGGCGCACAGAACTGTCTAAGCGATACCAATCAAAGGTTAAGGGATTGGCTTGAACAAGGCACTCCCATTGAAGCCAATTTACAAACCCAAGTCTATTGCAATGGCCTAAAACAATCTGCCGATGATGTTTTCTCATTTATGTTTAACCAACTTATGGAGTCCAAAGATCAAACCTTCCGTCGTGCTCTTATCTCTGCACTGGGTTGTTCGCAAAATGAGAAACAATTGAAAATCTATTTGGAAAGTTCCATCGACAAGGACAACAAGTTAAGTACCCAAGAACGCACCAGCATTCTGAATCCGGTGTACTCACGTGGATCTGTGGGTGTTATGGCCACCCTTGATTTCCTCGATGAACATTGGGATGAGTATGGCAAGGTGAATAATGGTGTGGGTAGTAATCCCTTGGACAGTGCATTGCGTGGCATAGCTTCTTATGTGGTCAACACCGAACAAGAAACCAGACTTTTGGCTTTGGTTGACAAGGTCAAGACGACTGCCCATGCGACCAGTACCTTGGAGTCCGCTGTTAAGTCCAACATTCAGTCCAACTTTGAGTGGTTGCAGAGTCATCGAGACCCATTGATGAACTGGTTCTATTCATACAACAAGAAGGATGATGGCAACGGTGGCGGCAATGACGGTGGCAACGGCGGTGGTAATGGCGATGGTGGCGGTGATGGCAGTGCTGCTATTGGGGGTTCTATTATGACCATTGGTTCCCTTCTGCTCTTGGTTATTTCTCGCCTATATTAGACCTCTTAGACAATAGCATAATTTTAGAGAACACCAACTTAACACCTTTTTCTGTGGTATGCGAATATTACGAATTTCTTACTTTGAAAATAAAATAATTTTTTTTTTCAAATTTCATTTGTAGTTTTGCAATATTTTTGTTTTCCTGTAACAATAAATTGTTGCCTAATAGGATATAAAATATTATTTATGATCGATTATATAGTAATAAAGTTGTCGCTGAACGATAACAATGCAGTACAAATTCGTTTGGCGTCAGGTCAAAAATAAGAATGGTAATCATCAAAAAAAATATATTTTTTATGATTTCTATTATTGGTACTCAGTGTGGACTAATGAAAAACAGTTGGAAATTATATAACCCTGTGCGATACAAAAATAATTAAAACAAATAAAATAGTATCAGTCGGTTTCGTCGACAGATGTACAGTGTGAGATAAAAAAACTGCATAATAATAAATTTTAAAATTTTTTATACCCTCAGCCATATGGGGTATATATCATTTGATACGGCCAAAATGTGCCTAGTCGAAATAATGGTTTTAGACCGTATGTCTCTTTGGACCAAATCCGTTTCAGAACATTTGGAGTCGATCTGGCAACGTCCGTCCGTCCGTCTTTCTGCCTGTCTGGCTGGCTGGTGCGCACGATAACTCTCGACGGGAGTATCTGACTTGGTCGAAACTTGGTACATCGTAATATTTTTGTCAAAATTAGATCGAGTTCGGAGATGGGCAATATCGGTCCACTCTTTCTGGTACCTCCCACACAAAAGGACGAAATTTTCAAAATATATATATTCTTTGCACAAAAAGAGAAACGATAATCCGATTTTGCTCCAACCTTGCAAATCCTAATATTTGCGTCAGTGCTGGGTCGGGTGTGCATCTGGACAATATCGGTCCACTCCATTAAGTACTTCCCCCACAAATGGTCAACAATTTTGAATAATTTCAACTTTCATAAAATGTTATGTAAGAGTCCGATTGTCTTCAAATTTCAAACATCCCAATATTTTTATAAACCCAAGACTTGGTGTTAAGATGGAATATATCGGTTCACTCCTTATGGCACACCCCCCACAAAACGGTCGAAATTTTCAAAAAAAAAATCAAAATCAAAAATTTTGAATAATTACAACTCTCATAAAATGTGATGTAAGTGTCCGATTGTCATCAAATTTAACACATCCCAATATTTTTATAAACCCAAGACTTGGCGTTAAGATGGAATATATCGGTTCACTCCTTATGGTACCTTCCCCACAAATGGTCGAAATATTAAAAAAAATGTATATTCTTTGAACAGAAAGAAAAACGATTATCCGATTTGGCTCCAACTTTGCAAATCCTAATATTTACATCAGTGCTAGGTCAAGTGTGAAAATGGAATATAGCGGTCCACCCCTTCTGGTACCTCCACTACAAAAGGTCGAAATTTTGAATATTCATTAAGCTCATAAAAGGCGAAATTAACATCGTATTCCATTTAGACTTGTGACATCTCAATATTTCTATCAACACAGGATCCTCCATCCTCCTGCTACCTCACCACAAAGGGTCAAAGTTTTTAATAACCAAAACGTTTATAAAACCCGAAATAAGTGAATGTGATGTGAAGATGGAATATATCGGTCCACTCATTCTGGTACCTACCCCAAAAAACTGATTAAAAGCGAAATTGATTGATCCGATTCTATTCAAGACTTGGTACATCCCAATTTCCATTAACACAAAACAGTCGAAATCTAGCACGTCGCAATATTTATATCATATTTAATTAGATCCGATACGAAATAATAATCATAACAGAACTCAAAATATTTTTAAATAATCGAACATTGGCTGAAGATATACATCTGTCGGCAAAACCGACCGATACTTTTTTACTTGTTTTTAATTTTATTGAATGAAAACAAACAAGTAAAAAAATATTAAGTTCGGCCGGGTCGAACTTTTAATACCCTCCACCTTAGGGTAATGGAAACACTAGAACCAATTATGACCCACAAATACCAATTTTTAGTCATATTCGTGGGAAAAATTGGCAAAATCATCAAAATACCGAATATCGGGAGGTACCGCTATATAGGGCTTTACAAAAGCTTGGACCTAAAGATGCAAAGATTCCACCGGAGCTAGAACCCATTATGACCAACAAATAACAATTTTAAGACAAATCCGTGATAAAATGTGACAAAAATCATCAAAATACCGAATATCAGAAGATACCGTTAAATGGAGGCTATACCAAAGCGTGGACCTATACATACAATGTTTCGGCGCACAACCTAGGACCCATTATGACCTACAAATACCAATTTTCAGACAAATACGTGAAAAAACGTGGTAAAAATCATCAAAATACCGAATATCGGGATGTACCGTTATATGGCGACTATACCAAAGCGGAGACCTATACATACAATGTTTCGCCGCACGAACAAGGACCCATTCTGACCTACAAATACCAATTTTCAGACAAATCCTTGCAAAAGTGTAGCAAAAATCATCAAAATACTGAATATCGCGATGTACCGTTATATGGGGACTATACCAAAACGTGGACCGATATATCTCATTTTCAATACCAACCATCCTAGACACAATACAAATTATTCTGTTAAATTTTGACGCTCTACGTCAAATAATGTGGGCTGTATCGTGATTTCAACAGACAGACGGACAGATAGACAGATGGACAGACAGATGGACAGACAGATTAACATCGTTAAATCGTCTTTGAATTTAATGCTGATTATGAATATATATACATTATGGGGTCTGCGACGAATATTTAGAGATGTTACAAACGGAATGACAAAGTTAATATACCCTCCTTTCAAAGGTGGAGGGTAGATTTTGCTGGGCACTGTGCGCTGGAAATGAAGCGAGGAACCTCATTTTGTAACCATTCTTGGGTGGCGCGTGCTGAGCGGTGTGCGACCATCGGCTGTTACGGCGGCCCACACCATCACCATGGCCGGCGCTTGATTTCTTGTGGCCAACCGAAGGTGCACATTTTCAGCTGACCTCTTTGGCAAGTAAACACGATCATTTTGTTTGTTTACAAACTGCTGGACAAAGAAACAACTCTTTAGCTCTTTTGAGTCTATTTTCTTTCTGTTGCGGCGAAGAAGGTACCCCTTCAAAGGGCCACTATTTTCAATACATTTTTCTGTCATAACTTTGGAGATAAGTCAGCAATTCTTTACCATTTGCTACATCTAAATATTTATCTCAACTAGAAACCTGAGATGAATATGGAATTTTTGATTTCGCATTGGATATAAATGTTCGACTTTCTTGTTATTTTGCCCATACTAATATTTTTTCTGTATTATACAAAGTATGACAGTGGAATGCTTCGGTCGACTGTATCTGGTACCTCAAGCACATTTTATCATTTTCTAAAAATTGTCACATATCTTAAATAAAGTGAAGGAAGTAACCAATATAGTCTAAGCCTGCCACGTCGCAATATTTATATCATATTTATTTAAGTCCGATAGGAAATGGAAAATATTGGCCTATTCCTTCGGAATCTTCTAAGTAGAGTTTCAAAAATTTGAATAATCATGAAAGAAGTCAAAATATATCTAATTCTACCGTCCACTTCCTTGACGTCGAGCTATGCTACCAGTATCACGGTAACGAGCGATGGAACGAGACACAAACGATTTATTCACATTTAAATGCTGCAGTGCTCTAACGATAGCCACTTGTGGTTTTCCAGTCAAATATAAAGAAATCACAATATCAAGCATAAATTCCATCCATAACAACTTTTTTGTGGAATATTCTGACAAAAATGCATTTGAACGCTTGTAAACAATATAATGAGCTGTCACTGGAATAATTTTAACAGCTGTCGGACGAGTGGCTTAGAAATGACAGCAGTCTGAATTTGGTTGCAGTTTTTTCATCTCATCCTGTATGTACAGTTCTCTGTAAGTATGTATCCTATAGTGAGAACACATATTTCTAATTTACAGCAAATTTGGTTAAATTGTGGCGAAAACACTCAGAAACAAGTAAAAAAAAACTGCTAAGTTAAGACCGGGTCGAACTTTTTATACCCTCCACCATTCGGAAGGAACTTGAAAATTTAAAAAAATTATCCGTGGAAAAATATCTCAAATGAAACTTTTACATTGGGGCTATACGAAGACGTGGTGCTGTTTATGTATTTTTATACCCTCCACCATAGTATGGAGGGTATTATATTAAGTTTGTCATTCGGTTTGTAACACCTCGAAATATACATTTTAGACCCCACAAAGTATATATTTTCTTGATCAGCATAAAATTCTATGTCGATTTATCAATGTCCGTCCGTCTGGCCGTCTGTGGAAATCACTCTAGCTTCCAAACAAAATAAAGTAAAATGATAAAATTTTACTCAAATGTGTATAATGTCTGCAGGTCTTTTGGTATTGGTATATGGGCCATGTAGGTCCACGTTTTGATATAGCCCCCATATAACGGTACCCCCCGATATTCAGTATTTTGATGATTTTAGCGACATTATTTACCGAAGTTGTTTCAAATTTGGTATTTGAAGTTCGTAATAGATACTACAGCATAAAACAGAAAATGGGCCATGTAGGTCCACTTCTTCGTATAGCCCCCATATAACGGTACCACCCGATATTCGGTATTCTGATGATTTTAGCGACATTATTTTCCGGAATTGTTTCAAATTTCGCATTTGAAGTTCGTAATGGATACTTCAGCCTACGACAAAAAATTGTCTGTGCAAGTCCACGTTTTACAACTCCTATGGTTCCTCCCTATATTCGGGATTTTGATGATTTTAGCTTAATTATAAACAGATTTTTTTTCAAGTTTCGCATTTGAATATTGTAATAGGTTGTGACAAAAGTTGCCTATGCAGGTCCACGTCGTCGTACAGACCCTGATATACGGCTACATTCATTATTTTTAAGATTTAACAGAATTTTTAACGGATTTTATTTTTTTGAAAATTGCCAAATTTGTACCAAATGGTGGAGGGTATTCAAAGTTCGGTCCGGCCGAACTTATAGCTTTTTGACTTGTTTG